TGCTCTGCTCGTGCTGGACGAGGTGACCGCAAAGGGTGTCGGCTCTAGTGTTGTGCACGCCATCTCTCGCGATGCTCGGGCGTGCCTCCTGTGTGGCCGCAGCGGTCGCTCCGTTCTTCATCCGACCCTGGCCCCGACGACCCCCCGAGGGACAGGAGGCCCCCGCCGGCCGTCGAACGCGCCACCGCCGCTGTGACCCTTCTGACCCCGCGCCACGATTGGACGTCTGCGACAAAGAGCTTCGTGGCTCAGCGGATTCCTCCCCGCAGCATCAAATAAATATTCTGATTCTGACTCAGCTGCGGCCACCCGCCCGCTCGTCCCGCCTGCTCACGGGAGGCTCTCAATGGTGACGCGCAGGTCGCCTCCTCCTCCTCCTCCAAATGATCACCCGCACCGTCCGCACGTGGCCACTCAGAGCTCGGGCGGCCGTCCCTCCTCCTCCTCTTCCATCGTCTTCGTGCCACAGAACCCGACGGCGGCGGCAGCAGCCGGCGTCGCAAGACGCTGCAGCGCACGTGGCACCGCAGCACGGCGGACTCCCCCGGCGGCTCCGTTCCGCACTCGTCGCCCGGCGTCGGCGGAGTCGTCGCGTTCGTCCGCGCGCCGTCCCCACTGTCACCCCCCGGCGTCACGGCGGTGGCGGCTGCAGACGGAGAGGATTGGATGGATGAAGCGCCACACAGTGAGGGTGCCACGGTGGCGAGGAGATGTTAACTACCTCGCCTGGTATGCAGGAGGTCGTGGGTTCGATCCCGATCCTGACGCCTGCTGCGTATTTGGAGTTTGCGTGTCTCTCTCTCATCATCATCATCATCACGGTGGTGAGATGTTAACTACCTCGCGTGGTATACAGGAGGTCGTGGGTTCGATCCCGATCATAACGCCTGCTGCATATTTGGAGTTTGAGTGTCTCTCTCTCTCTCTCATCATCACCACGGTGGTGAGATGTTAACTACCTCGCCTGGTGTGCAGGAGGACGTGGGTTTGATCCCGACCCTGACGCCTGCTGCTGTATATAGTGTCACTGAGAGTATTTGGCTGCTATTAATTTCCACGCCACAAGCCACTTCGTTGGGCGATGAGTTGTGGCCAGGTCGCTTTTTTTAAAAAGAGCCACCACAGCTCGGTTTGGCCTTACCTGGTAAAAAAAAGTTTAAATTTTGATTTAAAGCTTTCGTGACTGCAGGGATTCATATTATTGGTTCTTTCGGTAAAGTCACGTATAAGGGAAATAATAAAAATATATAAAATAAAAATTCTCACGACGTTTCGACTGCAACACAATCAATCATCATCAGGTGTGAAATCCAGATAATTTTTATTGTTTTATATATTTTTTTTCCTTCTACGTGACTTTACCGAAAGAACCAAGAATATAAAAAGTTTAGTTTCATCTCTCACTCGACATTTACCGGAATGCTGTTCGGCTGGTTTGGAGTTGGGATTGTCGACACGAGGCACTGCCACTCGTGCGAGATACGCCGACAATACTACAGGTAAATTATTCTATCCTGTACATTGATCTAAAGTTTAGATCAATGTACCGTAATTATAATATGTATTAAAATATGCTCAAAATGTCCCCCCCAATATACTGCTATAAAATAGATTTATGTTTATATGGTTGTGGTTATGGTTGTACTTTATTAATCCCTAATCTCTGCCATGACATACAATGAAACAAGAAAATGTAAAAAAGAAAAAAACAGAGCAATGTAATACAATACACTATTAGATATTGTAAAACATAAATAAAAAGTCCATCTTATGTGTTAGTGAATTTTTTCATATTTTAGGCAGGAAATGGCAGGAAATTTGTTTTAAACTTTAGATTTTTATCTGGGGGGGGGGGGAGGGGACCCCCAGACCCCCTGGAAGATTTGGTCCCCCCCAATGTTGACCCCATGGCTACGGCCTTGCTCTATTCGTTAAGATGAACGTAGATCCTTGAGATTGAAGCCACCATTCCTCCTCTCGTCCACGAGGGTGCGACACGGTCACGTGTTCTCGGTGCCGCTCCGCGTTGCCATGGAGACTGAGGCAATGGGGGGTCCATGCTGAGTAGTCAATGGGAGGTGGGGGGGGGCATGTAACACACACACAGCCCCCCTTTGTCAATCCACTGCTGGATGAGTGCCTCCACACGCCCGTGCGGGTCGGGAATCGTTCTTTGACCATACCTCACTGGGTTGGGTGAAGGTGGGGAGCATAGATCTGGGAGCGTAGTACAGCACAACGCAGGCTTCTGCTGACACCACAACCTATAGCAGCTGTTATGGATCATGGATATTCACGCGAGGGAGCACTGCATAGTGCTGTAGTCACCTCTAAGAGTTTTGGGGAATGTGGTGGTGATTGTGGTCGCGTTAGCGATGATTCATGACCACCAGTGACATTAATCTGAACCGGTCCTGGGCCTCCCCTGGGTCGACTTAGCCTCAAATGAGTACCTGGTGCGGTGTGTAAACCTCGCCACTGGGGAGACAAAGGCGGCCGGGCGTGGTGCTGGCCACCCACCCCCTCGTGTGCCGTTCTGGACTTCAAGTCTTTGTCCGTGTGATTTTGTGTCTCGTCTCTGTTCGTACGTATGTGCGTGTCAGCCATTGTCTCTGTGTCTGCCTCTTCACGTGTCTCTCTGCACGTGTCTCTGTGCCCTTCTTCCTCAGTGTCTCTGAGTTTTGCCACTGGGGAGACAAAGGCGGCCGGGCGTGGTGCTGGCCACCCACTCCCTCGTGTGCCGTGCCAGCCTTCATAGGTGCTCGCTAAAAGCACTTGCCCTAACAGTCCGTTGAGGCTGTACGGGGCATCTTCTTCTTCTGTGTCTTTGCGTTTCTCTCCGACGGTGAAGGATGATGATGGAGTGCCACCCGAGGCGTGGAACGGATCCCGAGGACACAACCGCCGGGGAGATGGAGCGTAGATGCGGTCGTCTCGCGTGCGGGCGCTGGGTGGATGAACAATGCACCACGGCAGGATCGTGGATTGACCATGGCTGCTGCTGATGATGGTGAGGAGGAGGACCCGCCTATTCTTTAGAACTGATTTGTTGCCTTTAGTTGCCCTCCGATCAGCACGGATGGCTACGTACAGTGCGAAAGAAGTTGAACATGCATACGTACTGCCCAAAGACGAACACTACCCACAGACAAACACTGCTCATAGACTCAACACTGCTCATAGACTCAACACTACTTACTCATAGACTCAATACGGTACCTCCGATTAAGCACGTTTGGCTACGTACGGTGCGAAAGAAGTTCTGCGTGCATGCACACCGATGAGTACTATTAGCGAGCACCTATGAACGCCAGCACAGAACACGAGGAGGTGGGTGGCCAACACCACGCCAGCCCGCATTTGTCTCCCTAGTGGCGATGTTTACTACACATCGCACCAGGTACTCATTTGAGACTCAGTCAACTTAGGGGAGGCCGTCAGATAATCGTCACTGGTGTCTGCAGTGAGCGGGATGGGTCGCTGGGTTCGTAGCGCAGTGCGCCTATCACTGCGCCACCGCTCCCCAACAAAGATCACCCGTATAGCCTTAACAGACTGTTGGGGCAAGTGCTGTTAGTGAGCACCTATGAATGCCGGCACGGCCCAAGACCAGTTCAGATAATCATCACGGGTGTTGGCCGTAAGCGGGAGTCGAACTCGGGTCTCTGGGTTCGTCGCGCAGCGCGCTAACCACTGCACCACCGCTCCCCAACACACATACACACACGCGCACGCTCACTCACCTGAATGCGGCCTCTTGGTTTCTGGAAAATGTGGCATGGGCTCCCATGGTAACCTGGACTTCCATGGTAAACTGGACTCCCATGGTAAACTGGACTTCGATGGTAACCTCGACTCCCATGGTAAACTGGACGTCCATGGTAAACTGGACTACCATGGTAACCCGAACTTCCATGGCGAACTGGGCTCCCATGGTAAACTGGACTTCCATGGTAAACATGGGGTGGGGGTTTTCTCTGGGCATTCCGCTTTGCCACTCAACTCACGCGAATCGTACGCGGACATCCCCCAATCGCTTGTTGCCAACGCCTTGTCTCCATGTCATCAACAAGGCGAGGGCCGGGGGGGGAGAGCAAGGCTCTCGTTCTGCGAACGAAGGAGTTCATACTCTTTGGTTCTTTCGGTAAAGTCACGTAGGTTTTGGAGTTTCTGCTGTGAATTTCAACTGCTGCTTAATTGCATGGGCGCGCGTGCGCACGCTAAGCAATCGGGTCTGCATCTGATGAACGCTCAAATGTATCTCAACTTTATTTTTGTTTAAAACCAAAATGTAATAACACCGGGGCGTTAAATTGATACATTATCCAGTCCGTCATCCCACGAGAAACGAAGCTCGATTATCTTCCCGGTGAGCGTGAACTTCCCCAGTTGTTAAGTTGGCTAACGCCTGCACCAGGCATCTTGACGAGTCTCATCAGGAGTCAGGCGCTTACCGATACCCACAAATATATATATTTACTGGTAGGAACCTCCTGGTTACACCAGCCCACAGGGGATTATTGTGTCCGTCCGTCGTGCATCCAAAAATGGGAGGGGTGGGGCTGGGTGGAGAGGGGAGGGTGGGGAGGGGCTGGGTGGGGAGGGTGGGTGGGGAGGGGCTGGGTGGGGAGTGGGAGGGGTGGGGCGGGGCTGGGTGGGGAGGGTGGGTAGAGGCTGGTTGGGGAGGGTGGGGGGTGGGAGGGGTGGGGCTGGGTGGGGGGTGGGAGGGGTGGGACTGGGTGGGGAGGGGCTGGTCACCTCGTGGTGCCCGTATAAAACTCAACGTTTAACCTACTCACGCCGGCTTGTGCCCGCCCTCACAGTCGGGCAAATTTGCGGAATACACCACGCCGCCGTTGACCCTTGCCATTGACCGAGCAACCCAAAGTTCCTACCAGCTCCCTCCGCAGGAATGTGTTAGTGAGGCTCACCGGCGTACACATTCACACCCACCATGTTTGAAGACGTATATAAAATCACAGCAACATCGAAAGCACACCAAGATTTCCACATACTTTTATTTACTCGGATATTAATGATCAACTATAAATATATTACAGCATTGTAAAGAATAGGCCTATATCATCATTATATATATTTCAATCATTCGGCATGTGCGCAAACACGCTTCTCAGCTGTCGAAAGTGGATATTGTTGATTTATTTATAAACCGTGAGTGCATTGCTTTTAAAGTGGCCCATGTTCCGTGAAAGGGACCCTCATCCTTGTGACAACACGACAACGCCACCTCGTTCGTTCATTCATTCATTCACTCGCCCGCCCGCGTGTTTAAACCAAACCGGACTTGGCACACGCGTGCAATACATCGATCGGGAGTTAGTGGCCTGAAGCATATAGCGTGAGGCTCTGGCGGGTTGCGCTGTATCACGGCTGACGCGGCATGCGGGGAGATCGCCCACGAGCGATGTCCCACGGCCCACGTGGTCAGAGTCGTCATGCCCAACGACACGCGGGGTACAAACTCCCCGAATAACACACCGGACAGCGACAGACTTTGTGGTTCGTCTCGCCAAATGAACTGGGGCAGGCTGCACACACTCAGTGGGGCCGGATAAATTTGTCGCTATTGAAATTACTTTTTTGTTGTTGTAATCACGAACGGCGAATTGTAATCAAGGTAACGAACGGAGACGACGCAAAAAATACATTCAGTGGATGCTGCTGAGTGTGCGTTTCAATCCCTCCACGTTTGCTCGCTTCGTTTGAAATCGCGTTCACAGACAATGCAAAGTAGACAGGCAACTGCTGTGGGAGGAGGGGATGGGGGCAAACTAAGCTGCGTCGTTAGGTTTTAAGCCTCCTCAATGTCAAATAAAACTAAAGTTTGAAGTCATGGGCGGCGGGGACGTCATTGTGCTCCAGTGATGTCACCGTGATGTCATCCCCACAGCCTTCAATACGTCGACGCAATGACTTAACTGCAGATCTTTGGCGACACACGTGACCTTGAATTTATAGTCTTTATTATTATAATGACATAACGAAGCTACACGATTGTGCGGCTCAGCCTCTGTGACTCAGTCCCCTCGGTGTGCAGCTACTCGAGAAGAGCTGCTTCGTGTCCGAGCTGAGTCTTTTAACATCTCATCCTGGCCACGTGACTGCCACCAATTCCATCCGCATACTCCGCGGACTCCACTGAATTAGCAAACAGCGAGTAAGTCGATGGACCCCCCCCCCACCCCCCACCGCAAATGTTTTGCTGGTTGGTACCACTCGAGATAGGAACACAAAAAAAACCTTGAGATTGTTTCACCTAGATCTTCATGCTTACAATAAAAGTGAATCAAACAATAATCTTATGCGTATCACACACAATCTACTTTTACTCGCCATATCCAGAAACCGGCATCGCCAAATATTTCCCAGTCCCTGGTGGTAATGCATTCTGCTCGGGCCCACAAACCACGGCCACCATCCCCAACGCCGACGTCACAGAGCGATGTTGATTTTGGAGGACTTGGGGGAGAGAAGAGTAGTGATTTTGGAAACCCGCGGGAGCGAGGAGGAACATTAAATATAAAATCCCAGCAGTCGTTCGCCATTCTAAAGAGAAATCCACACGTCCGAAAAGAACCCACAGCGAGACTTGAGCTGCACAATCTTTGCACCGCGGTGTGAGAACCACCGACAGAGCCCGCAATGAGAGAAGATCGGCACGGTCAATCACAAAGCCCTCACCAATGTCCCACTAATCCCAAAATCGACCGTATATCCGTTCGCTCGTTCCCACCATGTACGGCTGCGTGTCGAGCGCCCAACAACCGCGGGCCCCCCTCCCCTCCCGGCAAATCGATAGTGGGTTTACTCTCCAACACACCGGTGTGCTGTCCTTGGCAGAAATGGCATGTCCTGGTGCTAATCACAGAATTGTAACAACCAATTATGGTTTGCAAAGGTGCACGTAATTAATTGTTACCGAGCAGATCGCTTTAAAGTAAGAGTCCGTTCTCTACTGCAAGCAACCGGTTTTGCATAGGTTTGCACGCGTGCAGCGATGCAACCCAAGTTGGATGCAACCCAAGTTGCACGCAACTGCTGCAGAGGGCACTTTCGCTGCTGTCATAGTCAGGGCAAGCTATGACAGGCGAAGGGATTTTAGGATTAATCAAAGATGCGTGTGACATCTTAGCGGACACCGATGATTGAAAACGTAAGTTTGCTGGACGGGAATTCTGTGCAAGTCAGCGGTGAAACATGAATGCAAGCGTGCACAGTGGGCAGGGCGGTGCATCAGGGTCAGTGCCGGTATTAAAATAATAATTACTACACTCGAGTGGTACTCTCCCACAGGTTGTCAACGTAAGCAGTGCGTGGGGAATAATGATTATGTTAAGTTGTTCAATGAAACCAGCTGCCAAGGGTAAGGGGCAAGTGATACAAGGCTGGCTTGCCTAGATAGGGAAAGAGCATGGCTGGCATATGGTTGGATAGTTAGGGCAGGGATGGGGCTCAGGTCCGATTGGCTCGTTTGGTGTCGTAGGGGCCGGGAGTTCGGAGGTGGTCAGCTAGTTTGTTGGGTAAGGAGTAAGACTAGGGTCTGGTCAGCTAGCTTGGTACGATAGGGCTGGCGGGGGGGAGGGGGGGGTCTGGCGGGCTAGTTAGTTACGGTAGAGGTACGGCTACGGTCTGTATTTATGTTGAACTTCTGTCGCACCGTGCACATCGGAGGTGCGATTAGCATGGTTGGTTTCGTGAACAAAAACGGAATCCGAAACCCCTGCCAGCCCGCCCACCCTCAGTTCTGGCAGGATGGGTAAAGGTGCCGGCCCTCTGCAAACAAGCGCTCACTCATGCGACTGCTGACGGAAGGGCCTCCACGACGAAAAAAAGTCCCCTCTGACACGTGTATTTGACCTATTCTTCCACGCTTGCCCGATGCTTTGTAAGATGTGGGGTTACCCACACCAACTCGCCGTAGGTGACCTGCCGGTGGGATAACCGCGCCGTCCGTACCCCGAGGCGTCGGGTGGGGGTAACCGGTCCGTTATTTATCAGCTCCAGTGCCGCCCGATCAGATCGATTCGCCAGGGTGTCCTAACCAATACGTAACAGCAGCCCCAAGCCCTGTAAGGTTGGGGGGAGGTATGGACACAAACGAAAAAGGATGAAACGTTTAAAAAAGAAAACAAGCAAATCGGATTCCGTACATACTCCCAAGGGCTGAGACGACGGAGCAGCTTGTCTGTCGTAGAAAGCGTATACCAACGTAGTCATGCGTTGTTTATCTGCGTGCATCTATAACCAAAGTCGACATTTGGATATGGATGAGCAGTGAAAGGGAACATCGCCTATGAAAAAATAAACGCCATTTGCCCGTGCGGGGGGGGAAATAAAATCAACGGGAATGCGCCCCCCCCTCCCCATCTCTCCGAAGCTAAGCAAGGCTTGGGCCTGTATAGTGCTTGCATGGATGACCGCCGCGTGTAAAAAAACACAGGTGTTATAGGCTGTAGAGGGCTCCATGTGGTGGGCTGCGTGGAAAAATACGTCGCTGTGTTGCACCACGACTCTCCAGTCTCAGCTCCGCACCTTCACCACGACCTCGCGCAGCCGTGGTGGAGAAGGCCCCCACCCAGCAGAGGATCGACACAATCCCGGGACGTGTGCATGGCTTTTATTGTTTCCAAATCGGGCGCTACCAATGTCTGCTCTGGCCCAAGAGCGACTGTTGTCCCTTTGTCAACGGTTTAATCCACGGCCAGTTGGCACGCACGCACGCACGCACACGCGCGCACACGCAGTAGCCTTTAACAGACTGCAGGGCCAAGTGTTGCTAGTAAGTCGATCTCGGGGAGGCCCAAGTCCGGTTCAGTTATCGTCACTGGTGTCGGCCACGAGCGGGAATCGGACTCAAGTCGTCGGGCTCGTAGCGCAGCGACGCTAACCGCTACACTATCGTTCCCCACACAAGCGCGCGCGCACACACACACAGAGGGCATGGCGCAAAAAGGACTGTCAAGTTTTTTGTTCCAGGTATTAAAAACAAGCCATGGCTCACCAACAAACACTGTGTCTCCATCGTAGCAACCAAAAGCATTAATGCAATTCCCATGCGACGATTGTTATTGTACATAGAGGGGGCTTTAAAATAAGCCAAATGTAAATGCCACTTCTATAGTTTAACTTTCAAAGCTTTTTTTAACCACTCTTTCAATACCAAGCATCTCCACAGTTAAGCCCTCTAGAATGCAGGGATGAAGTATTTTGTTAGCGAGCACCTATTAATGCCGGGGGGGGTGGCGTCGCAGTTGGTGGCGCTGCCAGCACCACACCTCGGCCAAGTTTATCTCACCAGTTGCGATGTTTACACAGAGCACCGAGTTACCCATTTCAGGTTGCGTTGACCTCGGAGAGGCCCAGGATGAGTGCAGATATCACTCGGCAATGACAGTATCCACAGGGCCAGTCCGTAGCGCACTGCGCTAAACCGCTGCCTTCACTAACAAATTCCCGCTCGCACAATTTTCACACGTCTCACCCAAATACGGTCTCTCTGTCTCGCACTCGAGACAAAAAATAGATCCCCCCCCCACATCATGCCTCAACAGACGGTGAGGGGGGGGGGGGCGGGCAAGTGACGTTAGCAAGCAGCACCTATGCAGCCCGGCGCGGTATACGTGGGAGGGGGTGGCCACCATCACGCCCGGCCCCCCTTTATCTCCCAAGTGGCGATGTTTACACACATCACACCAGGAACTGATTTGAGGCTGAATCGACCTAGAGGAGGCCCATAACCCGTGCAGATAATCGCCACTGGTGTTGGCCGCGGGCGCGAGTCGAACTCGGGTCGCTGTATAATTCTCGCACATACTCTCTCACACTCGCTCACACGCACACAGGCACAAACACGTGCCATTCCCACTCACACACACAGACTTCGATCCCTCCCTCTCTCATCTCTGTCCCGTCACGTCCTTGGATAGGTGCTGGGGGGGGGTAGGGTGGCCAAGCGAGACGACGACCTCACACCTGCGATGACGGCACCACCGGCCGGCATCTGTGCCATCAGAGGACATCCCCTCCCCACACCGTGTCCAGTTACATGCATAAGCATAACTGAAAGTCTCCAATGTTATTTGCACGAAAAGGCAATGTAAATAACAGAGCATGCTATGAATTTGTTCTGAATGTGATCTTCACGGATGTCCCATGTTTGGGAATAGCAGAGTTCTGTTGAGTAGATGGCTCAACGGAGGCACCCCACACCCTGGACTAGCACACTCATTCAAGGACACGAGAGGGACGATGGCTCGCGTGCATCGTATCAGCACGACGCCCTGACGCGTCGCTCCGCGTATTGGCGGGAGCCGAGCAAACGCGGTATCAACGCCTCCCCCCCCCCAGTAGCCACACCGGATGAGCCCCAGTCGCATGCGCGGAAAAGTTTATGGGAGATTAAACGGCGGAATGGGTTACAAACCGCAGCCATCCCCCACCAAGGCCGCTGGCTGTCGTGAAGGCGTGAACGCAACGGAGCGGGAGGAGAGGCGTTTTGCGGACGAGAAACGACGAGGCACTCCACCCGTCCCCCCCCAGCCCCCCAAACAGAACCCAACGCTCGCTCACGTGCACGCGGGCGAGAGCGACTAAACAAAACCAAAGCCTTTGCTCCATTGCACATTCACTGATATCTCTTGGAATTAAAGAGAAAATAAACACGCACCCCCCCACCATCGCCCATCTCCCCCGCCCACTCCCCCTATCCCCCCCAAAAATAAAAATCACCGCCCCAATTAAAATAAAGGAAAGAAAAATCAATGAACAAACGCACAAATCCCTGAACCCTCCACAAAGGCTGGGTAAGAGGGCCCCCCCACCCCACTCAAGAGACAAGCCATCGTCCCTGTGACCTCCCGACCGCCGACACTTCCTCTACACAGCCACCTGTACCACACACCAGCCCCGCACACACACACGCACAACCTTCCCCCCCCCACCCTCTACCCGAGGGCTATTAACATTATACAGCTCCCTCCATGGAGAGAAAGCTCTCCTCCGAGTTCACAAAATGGGTAGGTTATTTTTTTTTTTAAACTCAAGAAATCTCCTGATCACGACAGCGCCCACGCGGACGACGCAGGCTAAATAGCGCCCAATTATCGTCGGATGTCGGAAAGCGAAGCTGGGGCTGGCGTCGAGAGAGTGGCACAGCACAGTGCAGCAAAACCACGCCGTTGTACCGCACCACGCTCGCGTCGCGCCGGCCCGCTGCGGCCGGCACTAAGAAGTTGCGTAGCGTGATCACATGACCCCCAGATTGGCGAAGGCCCCCCCCCCATCCGACAGTGGACGACCCGGCGCAAATGGGTGCCGTCGTTCAACGGTGTACGAACCCATCGAGGAGGAGGAGGAAGAGGCGGCGGCGGCGCCGGCACGCGAGGTGGCATCACAGCTTGGGGCCGTCTCGCCCGTCCGAATTAGGAATTTCGCCTGCATTAGCGACACACACGTCCGTACGCTCGCCAAGTTCGTCCATTCATTTATTCGTTCATTCCTGAGTGCCTCTGCGCCAAGCCGAGAGTCAAATAGCTTTTGGTGCAAACCGCCACAGACCCCGATTAGTTCCGCAAATCCAGTTTTTTTTTTTACGCGCACACACGCGGACAAAAATAATACATGCAAACATGGAAATCGCAAAAAACATAACTTCACCCAAAATATATTTTTTACAACAGATCCGCCAGATTCCCGTAACTTTTTCTTAGAGATGAGCGCTGTGAAGGGAAAGGCGCAGCCCTGCAATTTCCTCGCTCATGGCCTCCGCTGGCAGGGCCTCACCCACCCCCCCCATCCGTCCACGCCAGAGGGTATTTTTGGGCCGACTCCTTCACATGGACCAGACTTCTTGGAAGAGGCGGGAGGTTACCCCCCCCCCCCCCACAAAACCACGTGCAACCTGCCCATTGGCCGCACCTATTTTATACTGCTGTGTGGACGGTCAGATGGGAGGTTTAAGAAACTTGCATCATCGCGTCAACTGCCACACTGGGAGATCGAACGGAACCGACGGCCCCTGGATTGCAAGTCCGCCTGCTGACCGATACCCCACACCAGCATGCCCCCCACCCCCCTTGTAGGCAGGGTATTGGGCGGATTAAAGGATTTATGGCACTCGAATCGAGTAGCTCTGGATTGCAAGCCCAATGCGCTCACCATTACATGGCGGCAGCGTCCGGAGAGAGAGCGAGTGACACATTATTTCGGGGATCGGGGGATAATTTCACAAACGTGGCAGCGCTGTCTACAGGTTCACGAGCTCAGGTGGCGCACATGTGGGAGGACTGAAGGCTGGTTGGGTGATGGAGGTGGGGGGGGGGGACTTAAGTGGTCGTGGTGGTGTAGATATACCCGTGCTAGAGGAGCCCTCTCACAATCTTTGGGGTTAGGGTGGGGGCTTAGCCACCCCGGCTGAACTCTTAAGTGTCAAGTGCTGGGAACAATTTTTTTCGTGTACAATTAAGCGATGGGTATCGCACGCGGCGGAGGGGGGAGGGAGCCAGAGCACAACGCACGCTGGACACGGAAGGCAGATTCGCTGCGTCACTCGTTCCGTGCAGTGTTCGACATTCGATTGACGTGGAACCGTGTCGTGTCTCGTGCCCCCTCCTGTCCTGTACGTCACTGACCACTGACCCATTGATCACATCCGACCTTTTCTACAAACGACAAGAAAGTCCACCGAAACTGAACAATGCCTGCAAACTGGAAACAAACAGAACTAACGAGATACCAAGGTGAGCTGCTAGCAAACGGCAGGAAGCCACCACACCTCCCATCATCTAATTATCAATACGGCCATACGTTCAGCTATGCTGAGCTAGTGGTCGGGTCAAGGACGAGAGCATTCTATACGCGCAACTCTGTGGTTACATGACACGCACGCGAGGCATGCCGGGAGTAGTTTCTTCCTGCTCTTTGTGAGCGGCGCATCTATGCGTCGTTATTCTTGAGATTTGTCACAAATGCGAAATCGTAAATTAGGAAACAGATTGATGAAGGTCGGATGAAACAAAATAATTTGCGCCCCTCCACTGTGTACGACGATGGCCTTGATGGTGTCGCACAACAAAACAAAATCTGACGCATAATGCGTGAACAACACTGCCGCAAAATGAACAAAAAGAATGTTTTGACGAAAGTGTTGACATGTTTTTTGTCTTGTTATTGGCGCAGTAGCGCACAAGTAACTGTTGCATAAGCGGCGCGGTTACTCCGCCGTTCGGTGCAGCCACCGCGCATGGTTTGTCAACGCTAAAGGGGACGCGAGCGAGCGGCAGAGAGAGATGAAAAAACAAACGGCTCGGACGCCGGAGCAAGGCAAGTCCTCGCTTAACGCGTGGTGTTCGTTCACACGATAGCGCGTTCTCGCAATAACACGGTGCTTTCATTTTGGGAACACTTTTCTCACAACTCTCCCGCTATAACGCGGAGTGCGTACCGTTATAACGCGGAACGCACACCCTTGTTGTAACGTGGTTTCTGAGCGGTCGACGGCAAACTCCTTTCTTGAACTGCGCGGCTCAGCGGTACGGCGACACGGTACGCGGAATGATACAGCAACGCGGCAGCGTACCCCTCAGATCGTTGTCTCGACAACTCGCTGTGTGGTGCGCATAGCTGATCATATCCCGCCAAACTTTATCGTTACATTTACGTTTAAATCGTTTTCACTTATCGCGTTTTTGTCGGCGGACGCATCTACTGCCGCGTTCAGCAATGAATTACTCTCGTTACGCGGACAGGCAGCGCGCCTCCTGGGGTTGTTCTGGCTACAAAGTGGATTTCGTAATTTAGAACCAAGTCCTGTATCATACACTCAGGACAACAAGCCTCATGAGATCGACCGAGCTCACTGAGCTCTTGTTGTGACGCCGGGTTACAGCGACACAACGCTCGGCGCGTACGAAAAGTCGTCAGCTTGCAGATTGTCACCCCCAAGGGAGACTGCCGTGGGCGTTCGCGGTTGTGCTGTATCACGCGGCACCGCGAGTTGCTGTTGTTGTTGTCGCTGTACCGCGCGTTGTCGTCGATCCGATTTGAAAGACGTTAATAAACACCGCCGTGTTGCATCCAGCCGCCAGACGGGGTCACGTCGAGCAATCGTAAAAACACACGTGCGCATCGTGTGTACGACCTGCTTCTTGCGGACGTGCGTTGCGACGGGCGCAAGAGTCGAGCGTTAGCGACAAATCGTTGCGCGCCGACCGCGCGGACGTGTTGACACGAGCCGTTTGTTTTGCAGGTGGCGGTCCCTCTAACCGCGCGCGGTGCCATGTGCGGCAGATCAACACGACCCCGGCCGAAGGAAACCAACTTTCTCGGTCGCTCTCAAGAGGAGGAATAACAAGAAAACACGTTTTCTCGCCAACACTGCAGAGGGGAAACAACACAGCAGGGAACATTTTCGGTAATGACCCCCACTCCATAGCGTAGAGGTCAAAGGACCACTGGCCAAATTGGTCACCTGTATTTTTCCCTCTTATAGGGCCGCAACGTTATTGATGACCGGGTTAGGCTTTCGTTCGCCGTTGCTCGTTCTCTGTGCACCACTGCCAACGGTTTTGTCTAAGAAGAGAAGTTGGTGGCACATGCAGACCAACGAAGCCTGCGGCTGCCCTATCCGGCACCAGGAGGGGCCCATAAGGGAAGGGTTGCACAGGCAGGTGGGCAGGTGGGTATGACGGCAGGAGGGGCGCTGGGGGGCAGCAGAATTTTTATTTTACGAAGGAGCCGGGGGGGGGTTGGGGGGGGCGGCGTGTGAGTGAGCGACGGTATTAAGATCCCAACGACAAATTCCACCTTCGACGATTTCCACCCTGCGCTCGATTTCACTCGACCGCCTCCTCCGTGCCCTGCTCGACGATCATGAAGGCCGGCGCCGGAAGGTGCTGCCGCACCAGCAGCTGCTGGGAACCGTCGGCGTCGCCGCCAACGCCGGTGGCCGTCGCCGTCGGAGGGAGCTGGGCGGCGGCCGTAGGTGCCACGGCATCGTCCTCGCCGCGGCGGAGACGTGCCGACACGCGCGCCGTGCCCAGGTTGTAGACGCCGGGCCGCGTGAACGCGGCGGTGAGGCGGAGGCGGTGCGTGGAGAGGGCGCCCAAGGACAGGCGGCGCTGCGTGGGGCCGCACCAGCTGAAGCCGGATTGTACTTCCGGTCGTGCCGAGCTGTCGGGCCTGCGGCGGGGAGGGGGCGGGGTTGGGCCATTGGGCTATGACGCACGTGTGGCTGGCTGCAAATGATGATAATAAAACCAAAAAAATAAAAACGCTAAATCTCACTAAGACACCTGAATTCTGAGTGTGACAAACCCATGAACGCACCCATGAACACCGACATCCAATAATAACAAGAAAAAAAACACTGCATTCCGGATGATTTCGTCATAGGAATTTGAAACTCGTCTTCAATTTTCTGAACCGTAGTTGGGATCGCATGGCATACCCTGGGCTAGTGGTCACCACCCCAGCAGTCGTCCTCAACCTCTGACCTCTGGCAGGGGTGACCCTGCAAGGATAAGCATGCAGGTAGAGGGGGGCCTGAGGCCTGGGAGAGGGGGGGCGGGGGGGGTTGGGGGGGCGGTGGGATTGAAGGTGGACTCACGCAATGGACGAGCGACCCCTGCAGTCGACCGCCACCTCCACGCTGGCCGGGCAGCAGTTGTAGAGGAGGAGGTTGATGGGCAGCACACACAGCCTGCGGGAACAGAAGCACCGAATGATGTTGATGCACCAATAGGCGTCCGTTAACAGCACGAACATTGTACGATGCATATTTGCGTGACTGCTTTACTTGATTTGTTTTGTGTCATATTGGTGACTCGGGTCAATCTTGCAAATAAGATTCATCCTGGTCTCCCGAGTAATTTATTACCGGCTTTATCAAAACATCATCATAATTCTACTACCGATGATAAAGAAATGTTTGTCCATAGTTCCGCTTGCAACTCGGGAAACCAAAGCAGCTGAGGCCTCTGCGTGAACTTCCTGCGAAATTCGGAGACTCCCCAAGCACAAAGGACGGTTAACACGACGACGACGATGCTCGCAGCTTCATTTCACACCAACAGGTGGTGGCGGAGGTCTCTCCCCCTCCCCGACGTGGAAACCACTCGCTGGCCTAGATGCAATAATTTACCACCACGCCACACAGGTGCTGGAATCGAACTCAGGTAGCGCGGGTTTTTAGTGCAGCGTGCAAACCGCTACCGCTTGATCTCCTCCCCCCCCCCACCCCTTCCCCAACACAAAATGCAAACAAAAAGAAACAACTCTGATGATGATAATGATATGCACTGTCCTTGAAGTTGATTGGTCCACATCCGAGACAGCTTTTCTTAGAGCCTAGTCTCCATTGGTGTTGGACCAGATGACGTCATCATTATCATCATCAAAGTTGTTTATTTTTGTTTGCATTTTGACTGCCTGTGTTGTGGTTATTGCAAACATGATGCCTTGTATAAAGGTGTCAGTTTTTGTACCAATTGAAAGGGTAAAAACCTATTACTGCAACATCTATTGTTACGCTCCCACGTCCAACGCTCTCCCTCCCCTCTCCCCTTCATCATCAACTTCATCGAAAACCCCGGCGGCAAATCGACCAGCGAAGGTCAAGCAACCTCCATGATGCCTCACGGCCTGTGGAGGAGGCCGCCGCCGCTGATCGTCCGTCCGTCCGTGTGCCCGCCCGCCCGCCCGCCCTCCGAGTTTTGAAAACCGATATCTCAGACGCAAGAAGAATCGGGTGCGGAATGACTCTCAAACACACAGGCGTTATCAACGACGGAAAATACCCAATAAAACAATAAAATTGGGGGAAAATTTTATCACGTGTGGAAAACTGAGTTTTACCAAATGCGCAAGGCGGGAGACTAAGCGCGCACACACACAGAGCTCTGAATATAATTCACCGTGACTAATGGTGCACTCTTTCGGAACATGAATCCACTTTACCGGCAGAGTGATTTTCGCTGCGGAAAATGACGGGATATTTCGGCTCGGGTGACCATTTAATTAGCTAAGGGAGTCGGGCTCTGGTTATTGTCCCAGTATAACCCGTGACGTTGACTTGTGATACGTTTCACAAATACAAAAGATCCCTCGCAACGTATAGCCTTTAACAGACTAACACGTAGGTTTTCGCGAACAATATCATCCATAAGAGTTTTTTTTTACAGACTGTTAGGACAAGTGCTGTTAGCGAGCATCTATGAGAGATCCCCGTAGAGATCCACAGAGTCACAGAGACTGCAACCCAAGATCGTGGGCAGTGGCGGCAGCGACAAGGCATGGAGGGAACGTGGAAATTATCCGGAGCACAAACAGCAGGTAATAATTTTCACAAAACCCTCGCCAGAAGCCAATGCAAAGCAGGATACACAAAAAGAGAGCTGAAAAATAAATCATGAATGGCGGCTTCAAAATGCCGTCGGGAGTCCGCCCTTGTGAGAACGAATGCAAACAGCGAGTGATAAACCGTGCGCGTGAGCGAGCGTGTACGTATGCGAGCGTGTGCGCTACACCTTGCTCCAGAAGTTTGCTCGAATCTTGTCGAGCAAAGCGTGCGATTGACCGAGCGTGTACACGAGTGCGAGCGAGCGTGCGAGGAACATCACGCACTGACGTACGATCAACCGCCTGCAACAATGAGTGACTGCGCAATGAGTGACTGCCCAACGAGTGAGCTTGCTGGCGGTTTAGCGAGTGAGCGAGTCGGCACGTGGCAGCGTGCGAGCGAGAGTTTATGCAAGCGAGTGGGTAAGCGTGCGAGAGAATGTGTGAGCGTGTGTATGAGCCAGCGAGGTAGTATGTGTGTGAGCGAGTGTGTGTGAGTGTGCATGCGAGTGAGTGCGTGAGTGAGCGAGTGGAGTGCACGTGTGAGCGTAAGTACGCACGCACGTCTGAGCGCACGTGCGAGTGAGCGAGCGAGCGCGTCAGTGCGAGGGCGAGTGAGCAGGTGGGCGAGCAGGTGGGCGAGCAGGTGGGCGAGCGTACCGGTTGGCCGTGAAGTTGTGCGTGACCCTCTGCGCGTACTGCAGGCTGCACTTCACCATGCGGCTCAGCGCAGTCCGGGTTGGGGCCTGTTGCCGGCGCTACCGCCGGCTCCTCCGGCACAAACCTCAGCGGGGGCAGCTCCGTCACCAGCTAGGAGGGGGGGCGGGGGGTTTGGGGGGGGGGGCAGACGGGGGGATACAACGTCAACCAAAACGTTATTCCTGAACCGCCAATTCCTATTCAAATGATTCATCACATTTTAATACTGAACACTGTTATCCGTGGGTGCCGTGGTGGCGAGGGGATGTTATTTCCTTCGCCTGGTACACACTCATTTAAGGCTCAGCCGACCTAGGGGAGTTCCAGGACCTTGTTCATGGTGTTGGCCACGAGCGGGAATCGAACGAGAGTCATTGGGTTGCGGTTAGCGAGTACCTAAATACAGATTCACAACAACAACGGCCATTCGCCACTAAGTGGCGGTGACGTCACCACGGCGCTTGTTCCAGGCTTCGTGTACTTTAAGCTAGTGGGTGAAGTTCACATGCAAACACGCACACGCGCACACACATGCACGCACAAACGCACGCACAAAAGAAAGACACAGATCCCCCGTATAGCCTTAACAGACCGTTGGGGCAAGTGCTGTCAGGGAGCACACACACGCAAGCACCCTTAACTGGCGACGTGCGATTCAAGTCTCAAGACGAGGGAGGAGGGGTGGGAGTGCGGTGGGGGGGGGCCCTGCGGACACGGGAAGGATGGCGTGACGGAGCTGAAAGTCGACTCAAAGCCCTCGAAGCCAAGGGGTGAGCATGACTCCCGAGGGGGATTTTGATTGGTGGGGGGGGGGGGGGGGGCGGCAATTCATTGTGGACCGCGCCAATCACGGGCCCGTCGCCCCGTACGCTCCACCACTCAAATCTCCCACATGCGTTTCACGCAAAGTGCTTGCCACATGGGAAGCACGATACCTCGCTGGTCTCGTCAAGAAGCATAAACCATCACGCGAACTCCGGTCATCCTCGCAGCAGCAGCTGCTTTTGGCTAACCATCGAACAAAGACGGCCACCGCATCGCACGCTTTCAGATGCGCTTCTGCGGCCGTCTGGAAAGCTCTTCCTTCTCATATTAGGAAGCCACCGGAGCTGTGCACTTTTAAATCATCTAGATTTAAAACTAATTTCTTTAGAACTGCTTTCGTGTTTAGTTTGTCGTCCTTCCTCCGCACCTCGGATGAGCACGGGTGGCTCCGTACGGTGCGAAAGAAGGTCAACATAGGCAACATACACACGAAACAGGAAAGTGAATTTGACATTCATGTCTACGCGCACGTTCCATGCTCGTGCAGCGCATTTAAAACGCCGCTGAGTAACTGGCACCATTAGCATTCACTTGCACACGTGCGGCACAGCGGGCGACACCAGTGAAGAGGTGCGTCCTGTGGTGGGATGACATTTCACCGCGCGCCTTACCCGCTGCTGCCTGGCAGTTTAATAAAAAGCCCCAATATGCCTCGCGCGATCCGAAATTCCACTGATTGCCGGCCCCCCCCACGTCACCCGCACCGTACACACGACCACACCACCCCGGCAACGCTATCGTCTCTGCACTCGTTCACAACGCAGTCCTGAGTCAACGACAAGATCGCACTCACCCATTTCAAGATGTGTGTATGTAGATTCTCCGTCAAACTCACTCAACTCCCCTCCACACACTCTGCTGCCTCTCCTCTCTCATCTCACTACTCCCCTCCCCACACACTCCCCTATCTCTCTCCTCTCATATCACTCTACTCCTCTCCACACACTCTCCTACCTCTCATCTCCCTCTACTCCCCTTCACACATTCTTATTACCTCTCCCTATCTTATCATTTTGCTCTACTCCCCTCCACGCACTCTCCTGCCTCTCCCTTCTAAATTCGTTCTGCTCCCCTTCCCATTCTCTCCACTCCACGAGATGGAATCAAACCGCTAACCTCTGGATCGCAAGGCCAGTTCGTTAACCGTTACACCACAGCAACATCCCTGAACAGAGCAATAAGTAGAACGCATTTATTATAATTATTATCGTGGAATTAACCCTTTCCGATTACGTACGTGTACGTCAACAGTTTTTCTTCCGATTCCGTTCCGATGACGGAATCGATTCCGAACGGAATCCAAAGTGAAAGGCATTGCGGGAGGGGCGTTTGGCAGAGTTTAGCGCTACCTATAACAGAGTGCGGTTGTGTCGCTACAGTTCTCCACGGCGAGTACAGTACTATGTCTTTACAAACAGCGGTGCTATGCCTCTCTAAACAAAGTTAATGCTGTGCCACTTGCACGTTCCGCGATTTAACTTGCAGACGTCTCAGAGAGGGTTAATAAAGCAGTTGAGGGACTGCCCCACATGGCCAAAGTCATCGGAAGCAAACTGCTGGCGTCAAGACAGTGACAGCACGCAAAGTCCCGCGAAGGCCCACACGAGTCTTCTCTCCACGGGGAATCACAGGCAGGAAATCACACGCAAGGATTCCGACGCGAGTCTTCTCCCTACGACGCACAGCGTAAACAAAAAAAATCACCGCGCCGCGCCGAATGCCTACTTGAGTTTCTGATTGACTTGTTTATGCTTGGCACCCCATATAGCCGCACAGACTTGCTAGGGCAAGTGCTGTTAGCGAGTAGCGCCGATGAAGGCCGGGCACGGCGCACGAGAGGGGTTGGGTGTGGCCAGCACCACGCTCGGCCACCTTTGCCTCACTTAGTGCTCATGTTATGATCATCTGTTTCCTTCTCATTGGAAATCCGTTTTCATTAAAAACAAAAAAACCCAAACGAGAGGCCAGGGCTTCAGAATGGCTACCGAGGGAGAGGGGCGGCCCCCCCATTCGGTCCATCTGACGGCTCGCGCCAGGGGCAGCGGAACCACGGGCGATCCGGGAGGTGGGCAGAAAAACAGGAGCCAAAAAATCGGCCGAGCCGTGGGCAACCGTGAGGGTAGGGGCGGGGTAGAGGGGGGGGAAGCAGGGGGGTGGGGTGATGGGGGGAACCTTGTTGTGTGTAATCTCCCTTCCAGTAATTTGCAATGTCAGTTGGTTCCTTTCTGCAGAGAAGCAGCGCCCGCCCGTGCCTACATTCAGCAGTGCCCCCATCCCTCCCGCCCGGCGGTGACAAGCCGACATCTCTCGCGTCGCGTAGAGAGCAGTGCCGTCCTGGTGCGATGACAATCCACCCTCTGCGTGTTCTGTCACCGCTTGTTTGTCCGCTGCCACGCGGTTGCGTAACATGCGAGGGAGGTGTGCAAGGGTGGAGTGTCGCCCACGTTTTGTCGTGACAATTAACTCCCACAGCGAGGGCTGCTTTTGTGAGAGGGCTTACGTGCAAACGCGCCAAGGATGCCTGCCATCGTGTAACGGTCACTGCACAACGGCCTCGCAAGTCAGACGTCGCCCGGTTTTAATCTCCCGCGCGGCAGTGCAAACACCGGTCCAGTGTCTTAGTCTACGAGGAAATTCCCAATCCGTACACCCTTTGTGTATGGATTGCACCGTGCTGATTGTGAAATCTCATTCCTTCAGAACTACTTTTTGTGTTGAGTTTGTTGTCCTTCCCCCGCACCTCAAATGAGCACGCTTAGCTACGTACGGTGCCAAATAAGTTCAACATACATATATATAATGGACATCTGTGAAAAAGAGCTTCATAGCTCATCGGATTTTTCCAATCTAAATAGAGATTATGATGGCGCACCAGACTTGCCATCCAGTGGTCACCCGCTTTGATGATTGACATTTCACACGAGGATACCTGTGTATACGTGTGTACACTTCTTTAGCACCGTACGTATCCAACCGTGCTAATCAGTGGCGTGGCGAGATTTGAGGAGGGAGGACAACAATGTACCTGTAAACCAATACGGTTTACCCCGTATCCTTGTACAGAATATGGCGTACAGCCGTTTCACTACGTTGCTTTGTTCTAGATTTGAAGTTTTCGTGACTGCAAGGATCCATACCCTTTGGTTCTTTCGGTAAAGTCACGTAGGTAAAAACATAATAAAAGTAAAAAAATAATAAAAATAAAATAAAAAATATATATTTTTTTAATATAAGAAATTAAAATGTTATTTTAATTTATAATTCTTTTTTACACTTTTATTATTTTTTACCTACGTGACTTTACCGAAAGAACCAAATAGTACGTTGCTTTGTTTGTGTTTCTCCCTTGTGATGGGACTTTGTAGGATGAACTGCGATTTAAAAGGGCACGGGGTGGCCAACAAGGTCTGAATTGGTCTGTAATAAGGTAGGCACTGATAAGGGGTCGACAGGTATGCAAAAGAACTCAAGCAGTGGCGGAGACAAGACGGTTAATAACGGACCACGGCGCTCGGATGTCGGCTGCACAAAAGCCGAGCGTAGCAGACGGAAGGACGCGACGAGCGAGAGTGAGCAGAGTGAGCGGCATCGACGGCATGGGCGGGCGACGACCCCTTGACCTCGACCCTTGACCACTCCGCCCCCGCCAAAACATTACGATGATACCTGCTGGAGAGGTGGTGATGTCACCTCCGTGCCGATGTCCTCCAGCCGCACGTGGTGCTGCCCCTCCACGATTGTCTGCCGCTTGTCTTCTACCACCACCGCCTTGGGGGTGCATGCACAGAGACAGATACAAAGATAACTCGCCGTAGCCTTCACTGACTTTTGGGACGAGCGATGTTGGGCGAGCACCTATGAAGGCCGGTACGGGCACATGAAGGGATTGAGTGGCTAGCACGACGCTCGCCCGGCCGCATTCAGTCACCGCAGCAGGTACTCAGTTGAGGCTGAGTCGACCTAGGGGAGGCCTAGGACAGGTTCAGGCATTCGTCACCGAAATTGGCTGCGAGTGGGAACTTGAACTCGAGTCGCCGGCTTTGTAATGCAGTGCGCTAATCATTGCACCTCTGCTCCTCACGAAGGCTCAAATAAGAGACAAAGATCCCCCATATAGGCTTTAACAGACTTTAGGGGCAAGTGCTGTTAGCAAGCACCTATGAAGGCCGGCACGGCATACGAGGGGGTGGGTGTGGCCAGCACCACGCTCCGGGCCGCCTTTCTCTCCAGAGCGGCAATGTTTTGCACACAGCAGCAGGTACTCATTTGAGGCCGAGTCGACCTATGGGAGGCCTGGGTCAGGTTCTCTGGGTCCTCCGGTTTTTCGCTGCACATTTAGAAACAACATCACGTGTTTCGAGTATTTGGCTGCTATAAATTTCCCACGAGACAAGACGCTTCTTTGAGCGATCATTTGTGGACAGGTCGCCTCTGAAAAAGAGCTGAGTGGGCACTACCTGGTAAAGTCAAAGGTAAAGTTTAGCTACTTCAGAGGGCGCGAGCCTGCGAACAGTTGGGCGAGCGAGCGGGCGAGCAAATAGGCGAGCGCACGTGAGCATCGCGATGGCAGCTCACCTTCCACAGCAGCGTGAGACTGATCTCGGCACGGCTGCTCTTCACCACAACCTCCTGCTGCTGCTGCCGGTGCAGCTCCGCCGGGGAGTCCGCGGGGGCCCAGGCCGGCGCCGCCGCCGCCGCCAACGCCGCCGCCGCCGCGCCCGGTTCGTCGCCGCCTCTCCGGCTCCGGGCAAAAAAATCCGAGCAGGGCGTCGCCCAACTCAGAATCTGAAAAGGAAGCGGAGCGGGGTCCAGACGGGGGAAATAAACCGTGTCACGTCGAGGCACAAATCGCGCCGCGAGAGCGCAACCCACAGGGCTGGACGGGAAGTCACGGGGGGTGCCGTTGGCCACACTTCAGGGGCTGGTTGGTGAACGTTTGGGTGCCACCAGGACTGTTTCAGATCGTACTCGCCACCGCTGGTGTTAGCCGTGTGGTAGGTAAAAAATGAAATTAAAATTAATAAAAATAAAATAATAAAAATCACTATACTCTTAGATTTTTCGGTAAAGTCACGTAGGTGACAAAACTAAGAGTATGAATCCTTACAGTCATGAAAGCTTCAAATCTAGAATTATTCTTCATCCTCTTATTCCTCTTCCTCCTTTTCTTATTTTTCCTATTTGTCTTCTTCTTCAACTCCTCGATGTCGGGGATGATCGTATTCCAATCCGTGTCTTATCCAAGGAAGACAGCTGAGCAAGGCCGACCGGGGACCGACAAGACTCTGCCATCGAATCTGGGGCGCCGCGTGTGTTTCCGAGCGGGATGGGTGGTGGCGGTGCACACTCACACAGTTTGATTTCATCGTTACCAGCCAGGATATATTCACTGTTGGATGAAGCCCCCTCCCCCCCCAAGGCCGCCACCATCACCCCACTTTCTCAGGATGCAAGAAATTCAGCCAAGAGGCTGCAACGCGAGCATGATTACATCTTTTGATTTAAAGCTTTCGTGACTGCAGGGATTCATATTCTTGGTTCTTTCGGTAAAGTCATGTAGAAGGGAAATAATACAAATAAAATTCTCACGGCGTTTCGATTACAACACAAGCAATCATCATCCGGTGTGAAAACCACAGCAAATTTTTCTTGAGAATTAGGTTGTTTGATTTTTATTATTTTATTTCCCTTCTACGTGACTTTACCGAAAGAACTCATCCCATCCACCAACATTCTTCTGCAAGTGGATGTGTTCTCGGGCTTGTTGCCTACCCTTGGATGCTACTCCATTGTGGAAGTAAATAATAATGACGTTACGTTTGACGTTTTTTTTTTACATAGACATTTAATTACGAGGCACTAAATTTCACCCGCAAAAATATTAAAAGTTCAACAAATTTCAAAGAAAAAAAACCCGGAATCATACCCTGCAGTAATAGCTACCGCAACGATCATGAAACCAATTACATGTTTGTGACTAGCCATCAATCTACGCAATTACACGGCCCATTTATGCTGCCAGTGTCCTGAGCCGCAATTACACAACGGTGTGGTTTTTGTAAGTGGCACGGCTGCTTGCGATTGTTTCAATACCCCCCATTCAATGTGGCAGGTGACAGGGAAATACACAATGCCTGTCCACTCACATGGCATGCAAGACTCCCGGAGTTATTTTCCCACTGACAGCTGTTGGACTTGGGCCAATCACTGTCACTCATGTCCATCCAGAAAGAATGCACACGTCCTGCACAAACTCATCCCGATCCACCAACACTCATCCCATCCACCATCACTCCTCGTAGCAACAAACATTCATGCTCTCCACGAACCAGTATTGAGTGCGTGGATCCACGACCGTGAAAGTGAGCAGACGGGCCAAGAAGACAATGAGAACCCAACTTTCCTGGAGGTTTCAATCAAACTGCTCCTTCATGTGACAAACATCAATGGGTCGTGGTTATGTCTGGAACCACTTTCACAGTAGCCAGGCAACCACTCGGAAGAATCGGCCATGGAGAAATTGGGCACGAATCCGGCTGTGTGCTGACAATGGAGGGCAACAGAGGGAGCTGTTGGAATCGAGGTAATGTCATCTTTGGTGGGTTCACCCCTCGCTCCCGCCCCCACCTCGTGCAAAGGGACACTGCGGCCACCCTGTATATGGATCAATTGCATTGGCTACGATGAAACCTAAGTTTCAAGTCCACGCAAAAGGTCGCTTTGTTTCGGCCCTCTTGCTGCGAGGCACAAGTGTTACCACTGCGCCACCCTGCCCCGCCCACACATTGACCTATCCAATTCACGTTTAAGGTCGCAACTCATTGCACACAAAGTGATTGACCCGCAAATGATCCGCGGTGCCTTGCTGATCTCGTCAAGGAGCATGAACAATCACGTGAACTCCGGTCATCCTTACAACAGCTTAAGGCTAACCATTGAACAAAGACGGTGACCGTATTCCGCGCTTTCGGATGCGCTTCTGCGGCTGTCTGGAACGCTCTTCCTTCCGATATTAGGAAGCCACTGGTGCTATGTACTTTTAAATCATCTAGATTGAAAACTCATTTCTTTAGAACTGCTTTTTGTGGCTAGAGTTCGCGTGATGGTTTAAAAAAATGATTATGATGAGGATGACGACGGCGACGATAAACACAGCGGGAAACATCGCCCTCGTCACAACGACGACCTTCGACACCCACCTGCTCGTCAGCGAAGGTCACGTCCGTGTACATCAGCTTGCCCGCATCCTCGCATGACCCTGTGGCACACGCGCAGAGACACGCCGTTCACCTCCTGAGCTAACGGCAGAGGCACGGGGTCACCCGCGACCGGAATTATCTGGAGCGCGGTTTAACCGCATTCATTCTCACCTTGTACGTATGTATGGCGAACTTCTTTCGCACCACACGTATAGCCAACCATGCTAATCGCAGGTGCAGGATGGTGTGGAGGTGCGCAAACAGGGAACAAGACCATAGACCACGGAGCAGTTTTATTGATGTTAGTTGTTGATTAACGAATTTTACCCTGGAAAATCCCTTGAGATGGGACATCTCGTTTGCAAGGGCATCCATTGACACAGAATCAGAATATGTATTCATACTGTAGGAATCCGATGAGCTATTAAGCTCTTTTTCACAGATGTTCAGCAGGGGCAGGTAAGAACGTTACAACAACACATGCATCAAACACAACGGTACGCAGACAAAACATTTTAAAGTAGTAAACTACTTGTGAACTCTGTGTGAGACCACACAGCCAGTTCTATTCTTGCGCATGAGGGCAGCAGCAATATGTTCTTAGGTTTTTTCGGTAAAGTCACGTAGGTAAAAAATTAAAATTAATAAAAGTAAAATAAAAATAAATTAAAAATAACGACGTTTCGGAGGCAACACAAGCTTCCGTCTTCAGGTGGAACCGTCACAGCACGATAGCTGTATCAAGTGAGTTTATTTTCCCTCTGGTATTTGATACAGCTATCGTGCTGTGACGGTTCCACCTGAAGACGGAAGCTTGTGTTGCCTCCGAAACGTCGTGATTTTTTTATTTTTTTTATTTTACTTTTATTAATTTTAATTTTTTTACCTACGTGACTTTACCGGAAAAAAACCTAAGAATATAGCAGCAATATGGTTCAGGAGCCAAAAGACATTGTCGAGGGCTGCTAGCCACGAAGAGAGAGCTTCAGGAGAGAGACAATTCGTGTCGTTTTGCTGTTCCTCCACCTCCATTGAAGGTAGAGAAGACCACAGTGATTTAATTGCGTTGTTTTCATTTATTTGATTAGATTTTTTACCTACGCGACTTTACGGAAAAAACCAAAGAGTATGAATCCTTGCAGTCACAAAAGCTTCAAATCTAGACTTAAGACCACAGTGGGTTTTACTTGGCAGCGAAGCCATAGAACTCAAGAGCGAAGGCACTGAAGTTGACTCTGTTTAACCGGGCGGAGGCCTCAAGGGAACAGGATGCGCCTCATGTGCACGGGTGACCCGGTCACCAAAGGGACAAAAACAAGAAAAGAAAAAATACTGGAGGGAAAATAAAATAAATACAGCCCAGAGCAGACAAACTGAGTCGCCCCCGGGAGTCATTGAAGTGATCCCCTGCACATCAACTGAAGCCACTTCCTTTGGAACGAATCTGGACAGGGACCGAGAAGCAGTTTTCTGAATACTTTCCAAGCGTCTTTGAATGGACCGAGTTGATTTTGATGTGCTCCGGCTGCCCGAAGCCAGTTTTTGTTCACATTTTCCTGAAATTTTTTTCTCATTTTTATCTGCATTGCAAAAATTACCTTCGGTTTATTGTGCTTTTAAACATTTCCTAAACTGCAATTCACCTTCTTTCCTTAAGCCTTCTTTAAAGTGTTTACGAAAATGGTTATACAATTTTGCCAATTATAATTTGTTCAAAATAGAAAAGATATATTCTGTACTGAGAATCACTTGCCGTAACCCAGGTTGCCATTTCAAAAGATACGGTGATGTTTCAAGTTTCTCAATGGATTGTTTATTTCCATCTCCTGGTTGATTAACGGTGACTGATCACGCCACCGTAGCTTGAAATCATCGCGAGTTAAGATCGGATGATCGCGAGGTAAGATCGGATGATCGCGAGTTAATATCTGATGATCGCGAGTTTATATCGGATGATCGCGAGTTAAGATCAGATTATCGTGAGTTAAGATCGGATTATCGCGAGTAAATATCTGATGATCGCAAGTTAATATCTGATGATCGCGAGCTAAGATTGGATGATCGTGAGTTAAGATCGGATGATCGTGACTTAAGATCGGATGATCACGAGTAAATATCTGATGATCGCGAGTTAATATCTGATGATCGCGAGCTAAGATCGGATGATCGCGAGCTAAGATCGGATGATCGCGAGCTAAGATCGGATGATCGCGAGCTAAGATCGGATGATCGTGAGCTAAGATCGGATGATAGCGAGTTAAGTTTGGATGATAGCGAGTTAAGTTTGGATGATAGCGAGCTAAGATCCTGGTTGGAGGTTGACTCGGCCCATCATCCCTCTCCGAGAAAGCACCACTTTTTGGGGAATTCAACAGCGGTGATGCTATGGATAGAGTCGCCCCCTCGTCACAATAATGTGGAATTTCCATCACTGGCTCTGGGGCTGTAAACGGCAGTTGAGCACCAACGCCTCAATGCTCATTCAAGCAGAAAATCGCTTTTGACTTCTGATCAAGCAACACGCAAGAAGCGGAAACAAACTGGCATTCAGTCGGTATTTACATTTAGTATATTTGAGACGCAATTTTTTTCTTGATTGAACGCGACGGCGATCGGGGCAAGGTCACAGCGGCTCACCCGGTTTGCAGCGCGTCGCTTTGAAGCACAGTTTCATCTTCTCACGCGGCCCCAGCGTAATACCTGAAACAATGACAGCAGCAGCGGCAGCAGAAGCGTCGTCATCATCACCACCACCGGCATCCTTGGAGGAGGGAGGGGGGGAGTTGACAGCCGCACGCCTGCGCGGTTTCCGCTAATGGCGTGGCGTGCGAGTAAGCCCTCCGCGCGCTACCGGTTTCGGTTGAGCAATAAGTCAACGGGCAGATGAAATAAACGGCGAGGATGTAAACAGACGTCCGTGCGTTTCTCCACCGGGCACGGGGGCATGACACAGCGGCGGTGAAATCATTCACCGAAGACACACAGGCGCGCGCACGCATGCACGCGTGTCGGCTCAATCGTTTGCTCACCCCATTTAGACAGCCAATTGTTTATGACGAGGGCATTTGGCCTCCTCTTTCACGCCGGCCAGACGTCTTAGAAGGTGTGGGAAGTAGGCGCACTCTACCCACACCTCACGCGACCTGTCTGTCGACAAACAGCGGTGTGACCCATTTATCCTGCACGGTGGATACCGGCGGTAGTGTGGGGGAGATTTACGGGGTGACTTCTCGATTGCAAGTCCGGTGCGCTAACCGGTATACACCACCGTGGCAGCATCTCACTGGCCGTGAAGAGTCTGCTTGCATTCACATAGCGTTATTGACGAATGTGCAGAGTTTATTGTGTATGCATGTACGTTGAACTTCTTTCGCACCGTACGTAGCCAACTGCTGCCGCCCAGAAGGGGTGGGGCGGAGGGGCGATCCAACACCGACGTGGACTTGAATGAGCCAAGTTTTATTGAGGTTCACGTCATGGTAACTCGGATAATGGTTAAGCGGGTCATGGTAACGTGGGTCATGGAAACGCGGATCATGGTAACATGGGTCTTGGTAACAGGGGTCATGGTAACAGGGGTCATGGTAACGTGGGGTCATGGTAACGTGGGGTCATGGTAACGCAGGTCATGGTAACACGGGTCATGGTAACACGGGTCAAGGTAACGTGGGTAATGGTAACGCGGGAAATGGTAAAACGGGTCTTGGTAACGTGGGTCGTTTAGGTAAGGGCTAGGATTGGGGTCACGGTCAGGGTTCGAAATAGGGGTAACGATTCGGATTTGGGGTCGTGATTGGGGGTCGTGATTGGCGGTTAGGATTGGGAATGAGGGTGAGGAATGGGCCCTGCGGCCAGAGCACGGGTTTACCTGTACCAGCAGGCGGAGCCAAGCACGGAGACAGGAGCCACTCGCCACTCACGCTCGACACCTGGCTCACCTGGAACTCCCGCACGCTGCTTTCCACCTGCACACAAAGGTACAAAGACAAAGATCCCCCGTGTAGCCTTAACAGACCGTTGGGGCAAGTGCTGTTAGAGAGAACCTACGAAGGCCGGCACGGCACAAGAGGGAGTGGATGGCCAGCACCACGCTCGGCGCTGCCTTTGTCTCCCTCGTGGCGATGTTTACACACAGCATCAGGTATTTATTTGAGGCCGAGTCGACCTAGGGAAGGCCCACGACCGGTTCGGATAATTGTCACTGGTGTTGGTCGTGAGCGGGAATCCAACTCGGTTCGCTGGGTACATAGAGCAGCACGCTAACCACGACACTTCCTGCTCACCCCACACACAGACACGTGAATACACACACAGACACACACGCGCCTTTATACGCGTTCACTGAGATTTAAATCGTTCCCCGTAGGAGAAGTGTCTGAGCAAATTAATCTTTTGTAGATTTCCATGAATAATCTCACCGGCAAAGAAAGCACGCATTCTCTACAAGTTGGCCGTGGGAAAACTAACCAAATACGAAAATAATGTAAATGCAAATGATTTCAGAGAAGCGTGCTTTAAGGTGCAACAACACTTCCGGGCTCCAGGTTCAGGCCTCCAGACACAGACGAAGACTTCAAATGCTTCTATTCCAGGCAAGCTAATTAGTTATTTTTCGCAAGCATCCTTGCCACAAATGATAGCTCCACAAAGCGGCTCATCACGTAGACATGTAAAGCAGCCAAATACCCTAAACGCACGTTGATTCACAATGTGGAGGGAAAAACCGGAGGACTTGAAGAAAAATCCACATGACCACGGGGGAGAGAGGCATGCAAACTTCAAATATACAGCAGGTGTTAGGGTCGGGATCGAACCCACGACCTCCTGTATACCAGGCAAGGTAGTTAACATCTCGCCACCATGGCGCCCTGTGACAAGAAGTGAAAGTGAAAGTGAAAAGAAGAGCCACTTTTTCAAATTCGGTAACAAAAAAATCTCTAAGTATTTCAAGAGCCTCAATGAAGGTGCACACACAATGGTCCTTCATAAATAATGTTATGAAGCAGTCATGACTTAAAGAGCCGCATGCGGCTCCAGAAACGCCGGTTGCTGACCCCTGTCCAATGCACACATGCCTGTCAACCCATACGGTTTACACCCTGTATCCTTGTACAGGGAAATTGAGTTTTGAAGTCAATACGGCGCACAGCCATTTCAATACACATTTTTTTTGTCTGTTTGTTTGTGTTTCTCCCTTGTGATGTGACTTTGTATGATGAACGCTCGGGGTGACCACTAAGGTCTGAATTGGTCTGTAATAAGGTAGGGCACTGATAAGGGGTTGACAGGTATGTGTGCACATGTATGGCTCTTTTGATGAAGGGGGTTAAAAAAGGGCCCTTCCCCCATGCCGTGTGGGTCACGGGGGTTTCACTGTGCCGGTGAAATATGGTCAGGTAACCCTCGCGAGCAGTTCACACCCTCATTTGCCACCGATGTTAGCCGCCATGGCCGGGAATTGAACAGGGGCCCGACAGATTAATAACACGGCGCACCAACCACCGTGCTACCACTCCACGTGACAGTTCCGCATCGATTCTCCCCCCACCTTCTCACGGCTAAAGATGCCACCAGAGCAAATGCGAATAAATTTGGGTAAGTTTCTGTTTTATTCTCTCTCTCGCTCTCTTCTCTTGAACAGAAGCTACCTGTTCACCGAGCACAGGCGCCGCCGGTGCTTAGGCAACGCATGCGAGCGGGCTGCCGCACAGAGCTCCGTTGACCGAATGACCACTCTGCCGGTTGTTCCAAGGGTGCCGGAGAGAAACGCGAGCGGAGAGCTCTTTTTAACACTAATCTAGTATATAATTACAATAACCCCCCCCCCTCAAATCTTTGCACCTGATGAGTTAATGATGACGTCACCCTGCTGCTGCTGCTGCTCTATATAAGAACGGGAGACACAGCAGAGCCTCACCATTCTGGCGAATTGCCCGATGATGCTGGATGCAATTACCAGCGAAACGTCGTACTCAAATTGTAAATGTTGTGGTTTCACGCTTAAACACGCCGGTGGGCTAAAGCAGTGAACTATTTGTCTTTTGTCAACGTGACACTTTTTTACTGATTGGCCGTGTCGGGTGGTGGAGGGTTACGACACATTTATAAATAAGGCGATCTAAACCCAAAAACGTTGATTATGGAGAGCTCTTTACATGTGGCCAAACTTCCAAACGAATCATTTCCAGGATTTGACGAGTGGGGGATTGGCCGGCCGGTTGCCGATGGGGCCCCGTGGGGAGCGAGGGTGGGCGGCGGAGGGGGAGATGTTGCGGGCAATTCATAACCGACAAGGGCGACAAAATCTTCACGTCGTGACCACCGCCTTACCCTCTTTTACCAGCCACCACCAACCCCTGCCGGGCACTCAACTGGCATTTAATAAACAACACCTGGTTTGAGGTGTGTGTGTGTGTTAGTGGTGAATCTCACCTGGTTGAGGTGTGTGTGTTAGTGGTCTCACCTGTTTGAGGCGTGTGTGTGTGTGTTAGTGGTCGCACCTATTTGAGGCGTGTGTGTGTGTTAGTGGCGAGCCTCACCTGGTTGAGGTTCTCGATGTTGAGCTGCAGCAGGAGGGAGTGCGCATCGCGCTGCACCCGGTGGCTCCGTGCTGCTTTGGCCGTCAGCCGGAGCGAGCGAGCGGTGCACACCACCGCCGTGTGCCGCAGCACGCGGTGACTGCGGTGGGGGTGGTCGAGAAGAAACGGCGAGTTACCGCAAAGCCTCGACTCGCAGAGGACCGCCGGGTGGCAGCTTTATGGTACTTACGGCAGAGGTCGCAATCTGGTACCCGATACCCTACCCGATACACGGCTACCCATACCCGGCCGGGTACGGGTATCGGGTACACGTTTGCGATCCTGGTGCGGCCGGGTAAGGGTAGGCCGTGAGTCACTGGTGAGTAACCGTTTTTCACTCATTTCCCAACGTCTTCAAGTTCCTAGAATCAACCCACCCGCACCTGCAACATGGCTTCATCCCAGAGGTCGCAATCGGGTACCCGTACCCTACACAATACCTGGCCGGGTACGGGTAGCCAGGTATCGGGTAGGGTACGGGTACCCATTTGCGACCCTGGTGCGGCCGGGTACGGGTAAGGAATCAAAACCCGTTTGCGACCTCTGACTTACGGGGAGGGGGTGGAGAACAACAAAAATTGGAACCAAACAGCGGAAATAAATAATCAACGACGATGTGCCTAAAGAACTGAGGATATTCACCAGCTGCAACATATGGGTGGCAAGCGCGCGTGCGCACGCGTTCGCAGGGGGCACTGTGGAGAAATTCACCACTTTTCCCGGGATCGGAAACGCTCGCAATCGACTCGGCGTTCATTTCATTTCGAGAGGCGTCGTGGCGCCGTTCTTTTCAAAGACGTTGTTACTCCGTTGCAGAAAACTGAGGCGGTTCTCATCTGTTCTCACATGGCATTCCACATTCCTATGGCAAGGGCGAGTCAATCCAGAGGACAAAACACCTGCTGACTTTCTCCATGAAATGGGCACGCATTTTATCGACCCCTCCACAGACTGATGATGGCCCGAGTCAACTGACCAATCAGGATTTCAGCTCGCGATAACCTTTCCCTTGATGCCATCGGAAGGTTGATTTCGCTCGGGGGGGCGGGAGTGGAAAGAGGGGGGGGGAGGGGAGGAGCGGAGGGGCCCACCTGAGCTTGGGGTGCCTCTCCGCCCCCTCGTAGTAGAAGATGAAGTTCACTTCGTGGACTCCCTCCTCCTCGGGCCCGCGGATCCACATGGGCAGCCGGAGGGTCGCGCCGGGCTCCAGCCGGCCGTGCGGCAGCGGCACCTCCACGATGCCGTGGGGCGTCGCCGTCGTCGCCGGGGGGCGTCCCCGGGGCTGCGTCGGCGGCGCCGGCGCCGGCTGCTGCGGCACGGGGGTGACGCAGGGCTGGGCCGGGCGCGGCCTCGTGGCGTAGGTGCCGGCGGCGGTGGCGCCGGGGGCGGTGGCGCCGTCGCCGAAGGTGAAGAATTCGGGGTTGCGGGAGGCGACGCGGAGCGAGAGCAGCGCCCGCGACCCCACGTTGGCGAACTCCGCGTGCGTCTTCTGGATCTCGCCGCACAGCAGCGCCGACGGGAAGTTTATGAAGAAGACCTGCGAGGTTGGGGGGGGGGGGGGGTGGGGGGGCGTTTGTCGACCGCCGTTAAGGTTAACAGCGGGAGTGTTGGCACAGAGGTCACAGTGACCGCACCGAAACGGCAAACTTGGAGTCGAAAGTGAAGTGGCGTTTGTACGTTCCCCCCCCTCCCAGCACCAGAAGTCGCAGCTCCCTCCCCCCACTCCATCACTGCCCCCTCGCCCCCCCCCCCCCCGTTCTACTGTTGTGGACCAGAGGTCACTTGAAGGGATGTCAGAGGCAGTTCTGTGGTATCCACTTTTGTGGGGGCTTTCTGTTACCGCGAAACGCTCGAGCGGCTTTGCGAAAGACGCAATGTAACGATCGTTAAATTTTACTTTCCGGCATTGTAAAATTAAAATTAACTCGTAAAACCTCTGCTTAGCGAATCATAAAAATGCACAGTAAGAGAGGAGCGTTCGTTTTGATGCGGTGAAATAAATCAAGACCACATCTCAACGCCACCGTCTTTTCCAACGACCTTCAGCAACATTTCGTGGGAATGAGGAAGCGGGTTCCCCCCCTGAGGGTGAAAAACTGCGGAGTGATAAATTAATTAGTCGTGAAACACAAAACTGCATAAAATCACTGTGAGATCAAAGGGAAGGCTAAACATATTATAACAATGTGTGTGTGGATCATCACAGCTGCTTGGTCATAACGAGCAATGATAATAATAAAGCACCTTTCAAATTAGCAATCTCAAATTGCTGCCCAGTTATTCGTATGTTGAACTTATTTTGCGCAAAATACATAGCCAACCGTGCCAATCGGAGGTGTTAAATCAGTTGCAGTTATTACTGTAGAGATGTTTTTCAGAAGCGACATGGCCACAAATGTTATCTCCACAAAGTGGCTCATCACCACGTGGAGAATTTTTACAGCCAAACACTCTAAACGCGTGATGTTGATTCTAAATGTGGAGGGAAAAACCAGAGAACCCGGAGAAAAGTCCACGTGATCACGGGGAGAGAGACACGCAAACTCAAAATATAGATGGGTCAGGGTCGGGATCGAACCCACAATTTCCTGTAGATCAGGTGAGGTATTCAAACATCTCGCCACTGTGGCACCCAGTCCAAGGTCGCAGTTCGTACTCAACTTTTATAGCAAAGATAATCGTTCAAACAACCTACCCGAGGCAATGGCATCCACAATCACAAAAACCTACACTCATCTGGTATGGGCGGTCAGCCAATCTAACGGAGCAATGCCATCCGCCCAAGCGCTTGGGCCGGAAAAGGCACCGCTCTGCTTGCTGTTTTTAAGTTTTGTTGTCCTTCCCCCACACCTCCGATTGGCTACGGACGGTGCGAAAGAAGTTCAACATACATATGTAGGAAGGGCAAAAATCTACCAGTAGGGATGCGCTGCTGGCATTGTGATCGAACCTAGGGAACCCCCCTTCGCCGCCCCCCCCCACGTGGCAGCTGTCCCTGTGTGGCTCAAGCAACTCAGCACCTGGCCTGACAGCGGGTGCCAGCCTGCCAGTAGTGGCGGAGGAGGGGGGGGCGGGCGACGGCGATGACTGCGAATAAACACGGCCACCGTTTTACGCACGGCGTCATAGATGCGCGACCGCATTCTGACAACGCTACGTAGAACCACTGCGGCACAAGCCCGAGTCGTCGTAGCGACGTGGCACCTGCAGCAGGGGCATCGGCGGGGTGACGAGGGGGTCGAGCCGCCGGTCGGGCCCGTACTGCACGGTCGTCTTCTCGGCCAGCGTGCCGTTGAGCCGAGGGCCCTGTACCTCCAGGTCCTGGCGGCCACGCACCACCATTCCGTTTCCCGGCACCTTCACTGCACGCGCACAGCGAGACGCGGGTGGGTGGGTAAATGTCGGATGAGTGGAGTGGGTGAGTGTTGGATGAATGAGTGGGTGGATAGGTGGATGTGTGGGTGGGTGGGAAAGTGAGTGGGTGAATTAGTACGTGGGTGAGTGAGTAGGTCGGTGAGTAAGTGGGTGAGTGAGTTGGTGAGGAGGTGGGTAAGTGGGTAAGCGAGCGAGTAGGTCAGTGGTAGGTTGGTGAAGGCGGGGAACACAGATGTTGGGAGTGTACTACACTACAACAATGGCGTTTGCTGTACAGCCCACAATCTAGCCCCACAGAAGCCGGCAAGACCTAGGCTAGAACTAATTGTAACAATAATCAGTCACATTTGGCATTTTTCCCATTCGTACAACACAGGGCTACTACAGAGGTGCTATGCTTCACATACATAGCCTGCATCACCACCAGCACGAAAAAGTAACTTAATGATTACACCCATGATTACTCCGATAAGCACAGTTGGCTACGTACGGTACATGCAAAGTTCAACGCACACATATAAAGTGAACAAGTGTTCGTGCAAAATCACAAAAGTGTCCGCATGTGAATCTCTTCCTGGCGTGGGTAAAACTGATTGGTGGCCAGCAACTGGAGGGCAGCAGCGGACCCAGGAAGAGGAAATTATTCGTAGAGCAGAAACTTAAATTTATTTCATAGAAACCTCCGATTAGCTTAATGCAACTGACGTCAGCGTTAATACCAAAGCGGCTGACCATTGCAACACTGGCGATGACTATCGGGGGGAAGGGGGGGGGGCGACCAACTAAAGTAAAGCTCCGTTTTGTTTGTCATCGGTCTGATGTGTCACTTAATTTCACGTCACACTATCAGTTATAATCGAGTGGACGTTCCTCCATTCGAGCACTGCTTTCCCGAAAAGGCGCCGTTCACGTGGTTCTTCAAAGCAATGCGAGAAATCAGATTTGTTACCATTGTTGTTGTTATCATCGTCGTCGTCATTGTCCCGTGTTGAAGAAAAATCACGCGTACCGCGTGCAATCGGCAAACACTTTGCCAACACGCACGGCGTCGTTCTCCGGAGCGTGACATCGGCGACAATAGCGCCACGTGACAAACGTGACAAACTTTTAGCAGAGCCTTTTCCTCTCTGTGTTTTTTGGAAACCCTTCGGATGAAAGTGGCCAGATTTCTGTAGGGCAAATCCCAAATAGCAACAACTCCATACTTAAGTTAAATTCATTTTGGATCATCTGAACCAGAGTAAACTACTAAACTATTCTTTTTATATTTTACCAGGTGAGGCCCCACTGAGCTATATAGCTCTTTTTCAGACACGACCTGGCTATCACAAATGATAGCTCATGGAAGTGGCTTCTCACGTCGAAATTTATCGCAGCCAAATACTCTAAATGTATTTTTCAAAATGTGGAGGGAAAAACCGGAGGACCTGCAGAAAAATCCACGTGACCACGCGAAGAGAGAGACACGCAAACTCCAAATTTTCAGGCGTCAGTGTTGGGATCGAACGCGCGACCTCCTGTATCCAAGGTGAGATAGTGACATCTCGCCCCCCCTAACCCCCAACCCATCCGAGCATGTTACATACGGAGAGTTGGAACGCTCTTAACGTATTCAACCTTGGCTGCAACGCGACAATGCAATCGAATCTCGCGGCATGCGCCCGAAAACCCAGGCGGCGTAGTGTTGGTCGCCCCGCGAGCGAACCTGCGCTCATGGGATCTTTGGGGTCGACGGCCGCCGAGGGAAGGGTGCTGAGGCTGTAGACGAGGCCCAAGATGTGCAGCTCCCCCGTCTGCTTCGGCAAGAGACGCAGTCTCGCCTGCGCCACCACACACACGGGAGCATGGCGACGGATTTGGGACTTCCTCGATGGAATGCATTTTGGAATGGTTCGCGATGTTAGGAGGAGCCACACGAAACAGAGGTGGATGGACAACAAGGGCTGTACCGCAGAGGGTAGGGCGTGCTTTTCTCTGGATGGACAACAAGGCTGTACCATGGAGGATAAGGCGTTATTTCTCTGGATGCTTTCTCTGCATGGACAAGGCAATACCGTGGCGAATAAGGCGTGCTTTTCATACTCTTAGTTCTTTCGGTAAAGTCACGTAGGTAAAAAATGAAATAAAAAATTAATAAAAATAAAACAATAAAATCACGACGTTTCGGAGGCAACACAAGTCTCCGTCATCAGGTGGGACCGTCACAGCCAGATTTTCTGCTTTCTCTTGATGGCTGTACTGTGTAGGATAAGGTGTTTTCTCTCGCACATACACCATGGGCAAGAGTGCGCGGTCGTGGTGCTCTGGAAGAAGAATCATGTTCAGCAGCTCGAACTACTCACCCAGGGCAAACCACGCAAAGTAAAGTGTCAACCGCACCTCCGACTAGCTATGTTTGGTGGGATAGAGTTCAACATACACACACACCTGCACAGTGGCCTCTCCCTGTATGTTACTCAGTGTCATTTGTAAACCACCGAGGAATTATTAATCCTAGACGTGTGATGAGCGAGCGAGCAGCCGCGGAATGAGCTGTCAGCACAAACTTTTGAATGGGTTCGTGCATTCTTTCTCTTTTTAAATCCTTTATATTAAGTTCGCTTGCTTGCTTGCGTGCTTGCGTGCTTGCGTGCTTGCTTGCTTACGACAGTGCAAATCTTTCGGTCGTTTTTTAACCCACTTCCCGTGATCCAATCGAGCTGACATTTTGCACACAGACTCGTTGTGCGAGACAATTAATGTTCGTGAAAAAATGTTTCCAAAATTTTACACTGTTTAGGGAAAACAAATTTAATATTTAATTACCAATTGCTTAATACTGGCAGACAATCATCTGACCCATAGGTGGCAGCCATCTCAAGCCAGAGGACGAGAGGACTCCAGCCGCCACGCATATAAAGGATTTATAGTGAAAAACTTTGCTTTTACAGGTTATACTTATTTCTCCATTCCTATGTTGCACCGTGCTGCCCGACAAAGGAAAATTGTAAATTCAAACTGAGCTTGCACTTGAAACAAAACATTTGGTCTTCGTCCTTCGTCGACAGCTTCCTTTGAACCTCGGGAGGCAAACCCACGCACGGTCTGTCGGTACGGCCGTGTGTACGTGCGTGAGTGCGCGCATCCGTCCATTTGGTCATCAATCAGTCAAGTCAGTCCATTAAACATTCCGTCCATCAGCACGTCCGTTCGTCTGTCAGTCATGCCGCCCATCAATCAGTCATTCCGTCTGTCAGTCACTCAGTCGGTCAGTCATTACATCTGTCAGTCACTCAGTCAGTCAGTTAGACATTCTGTACGTCCATCAGTTATTCAGTCCATCAGTCAGTTAGTCATTCCGTAGTCGGTCCATCAGTCCGTTTCGTCAGTCAGTCCCATGCCAAGCTCGCACCGATGAATTTCTGGCTTTGGCTCTAGATTTCAGGCGCCCCCGTGATTAAACCGGGTTCTCACCAATGACCGCAAAAACAACAACAAAATTGACCATCACATACAATTTAGTTTTACACTTTCTTTGGATAAATACCAATGGTAAGAAGTAAAAAAACAGAGAAAACTCTTTGACTGCAATGTGGCGAGCATCACCCTGCACCGGGGCCGGTGGTAATGTACGTATGTTGAACTTCTTTCGCACTGTACGTAGCCAACCGTGCTTAAACGGAGGTGCGGATGAAAGGTCACCTGAAGGGCTGCTGTGTTAGTGAATGTGCGAGCGGGTCAACTCACGGTTTTGGTCTCCTCGCTCTGCAGAACAAACTCGGGATTGACTTCCGTGTGGATGAGGTCACTTCCTGCCGGCATCTGTGGGAACAGAGAGGACGTGTGAGATGGTCATGGCGGTGGCACGGGGTGGAGGCTGGGCAGGTGCCTAGCGGGTGACCACCAAGAAGAGGTCCTGGGTTCGAATCCAGGTATCAGCCGCCCAACCACAGTGGTGAAACTGGGTTCTCAAGAATAGAGAGTTGGTCTCAGCCTGGTGACCAATTACTGCATAATAAAATCCCATTATACGGGCACAACTGAAATCCTATTTGTTTATCCAGGTTTAAGTTATTAGCTCTTTTTCAGAGGTGACCTGGCCACATATGATAGCTCAACAAAAGTGGCTCATCATGTGGAAATGTATAGCAACCAAATAATCTAAACGCATGTTTCTAAATGTGGAGGGAAAAACCAGAGGACCCGGAGAAAAATCCACGCGGCCGTGGGGAGAGACAGAACATGCAAACTCCAAATATACAGGCGATCGCACCCACAACCATCTGTACACAAGGCGAGGTAGTTAACATCTCGCGGCAACGGCACCCCAATCAGTTATCCCGGCGCGGCAGTTAAAAAATGACGGTGCAAGTTTTTTAAATCGCCCACCCCCCACCCCCCACCTCCGCCTTTGTCCACCCAGGGGTTGAGATGGCTACACCACAGTAAGCCAATCCGGCAAGCTGCAAGCGGTGGGGTCAAGTGTGTGTACCTCCCACCTCTTCCATGACATCTGGGGCCAGGGTGGAAGAGCAGGCAGAACATGCCCCCTGGAGAGTGGGCTCGTTAGAGCTCTCTCTTAAGTGGGGGCCCATTTTGCTGCCAGCAGTGGCATTAGCAGGCAATTGCAGGGCTGCGCCTTCGCTAATATGTACAACAACAACAGGGCACTGAAGGGCAAGCGGAATGCAATTTTGGAGGGTGTTATTTTTAACCCTAGGACATTTTCAGCAAAGGACACCGGACTCGAAAAACAAACACGTGTACAGGCGGGCCGCGTGAAACGAAGGCACGGGGGCCATATCAGGCCCTCACCGTTGACGTTGAGAAGCTAGGCGAGTGCCGACAATGCCGCTCTCTGCATCACGACATGGACCTGCCCTTTGAGACCGGTGGCGCGGTCACGATCGCGACGAGGGCGATGAGGGCGATGACGAGCACGACGACGAGGGCTACGACGATGGTGGGTGTGACGACGAGCGCGACGATGAAAAGGGTGATGAAGAGGATGATGACGAGGGCTACGACGACGAGGGTGACAAGGGCGACCACGATGGCGGGTGAGATGATGAGCGTGACGACGACGAGGGTGATGACGAGGGCTATGACGACGAGGGCGATAACGAGCGCGGCGACGAGGGTGATGACGAGGGCGGCAATGAGGGCGATGACGATCAAGAGCGCGACGACGACGAGCTCCATGATGAAGAGCGCGACGTCTCACCTTCTCGTTGGTGACGGCGGATGGCGAGGTGTCGGCCGGCGCCGGGGAGAGAAAATCCCGTGCTTGGAACTTCCAGAGCAGCGCCAGGTCGGTCAAGGACAAGCGGGATCTTCAGGGGGTTCCTGAAGCACACCTCCACCGTGATGGGCTCTGAAAGCGCACACACACACACACACACACGAGTCATCAATAACGGGTATCGGTAAAAACCAACAGCCTTTAGCGGAAACAATACAACATGGATGTATATAGTGGCCGCTGTCAAGATGCTTCGGGATCATTCATTTTATACAGAGAGAGAGAGGCAGTCGGTCATCAGCAGAGAAGAGGAAAGTCATGAGTGTCGAGTTGAACAGGAGCAGGGAATCAACAGCGTGGATGGCTTGGGGAAGGGAGTTCCAGACCATGGGGGCAGCAGAGAATGAGCGATCTCCCACTGAGCAAAGGCTGTGTGTTGGCTTCAACAGAAAGCCTTGGTTGCTGGAGCGGAGAGTTAATGGAGGGGAGTAGAGTGAGAAGAGAAGGGAGAGGCAGGAGAATGTGTGGAGGGGAGTAGAGTGAGATGAGAGGGGAGAGGTAGGAGAGTGTGTGGAGGGGAGTAGAGTGAGATGAGAGGGGAGAGGTAGGGGAGTGCGTGGAGGGGAGTAGAGTGACATGAGAGGGGAGAGGTAGGGGAGTGTGTGGAGGGGAGTAGAGTGAGATGAGAGGGGAGAGGTAGGGGAGTGTGTGGAGAGGAGTAGAGTGAGATGAGAGGGGAGGGGTAGGGAAGTGTGTGGAGGGGAGTAGAGTAAGATGAGAGGGGAAAGGTAGGGGAGTGTGTGGAGAGGAGTAGAGTGAGATGAGAGGGGAGAGGTAGGGGAGGGTCCTGCATCAGAATGTTAGGCAAGTTCTATTCACGATATTTCAGCATGAAGGTGGAATTCGGAGAACACGGATAAAACCCAAAAATATATAATGAGGGGGTAATGTTCAAGGCTCTGCCCCAATTAGTTTCAATCCATTGCTGTATGGTGCTTTCATCAGTAATACTAAGTGGCTCCGCTAAGCCTGACGCAATCGGCTCACTGAAGTGTGCAGGCACGGCAACTGCCCGTATCAACTATCCCGCGGCGGCACGGGGGCCAGGAACAAAAGCCACATCCCCGAGCAAAGATGGTGCACAGCAGCAACACAAAGACAAAGATCCCCCGCATAGCCTCAACAGACTTCGGGGGATAAGTCCCATGAAGGCTGGAACGGCACACGAGTGGGTGGCTGGCTGGCACCACGCCACTCAGCCTTTGTCTCCCCAGTGCTGATGTTTCCACACCACACCGACTGCCAAGTAAGCGCGGTGGATGGGATGGGGGGACGGGAGGTGGTGGGGGGAGCGCGTGAATAGCTGAACGCTACGAGACGACCGCCTCCCCACAACCCTCGGAGGGCCGGTAGTCAAAACGTCACCGCTCAGCCACTCGGATGGAAACTTTTTTTGATTCAAGTGAACAAAGCGAACGATTTGGCCCTCTCGTCGAGCGCGCGGTACCCACTGTTCGATCGCTCGTGCGGAGCGGAAGTGGCGAGGCGATCGCTCAGCGTCGTCGTTGCAGAGGTTCAACGGTTCGGGTCTATGCCTCCGTCTGTGTTTGTAATTCTGTAAGTCCTTGAGTCCTAAAGGAAGACTGATGTTCCTTTGCATTTCTTGGATCCCGTTTGGCGAAGCGTAACAGACCGATTTTAATCGCGAGACGGCGAGAGACGGTGATAAAATGAGGGGGCCTTCATCCAGCAGCGGACTGACCACTGCCGATGGTTATGAATGAAACAATAACTTAAACTGGTAAAGTGCCGCACAGTGTTCGTCTCGCTCTCGGCGAGGAATCGTGGACAAGCGGGGAAGGCAGCAGTCGGGAGGTGAGCCGGCACCAACAGCCACCCAATCTCTGCAGTCCTCTATACGCGAAGATATTTTCAGCCCAGCTAATGAGCGTTTATACATGTCTTGTAGCGCAATTCACGACTCCGAGGCAGGTTGCTGTTAGGGGCTCACGCCACGTTTATTAAGGGCTCACGCCGAACCAAAAAACCCCGCTAGCCAATAACTCCCCAGGGGACAGGGGACTGTGATCCCTACACCCCGGCTAACCCGGCTCCCCACCCTGCCCCGGGCCGGGACTACCCCCAACATCGGCCGGTCGGGCGGAGTAGCCTCCCCTAGCCTCGTGTGAGGACCAACTACCCGAGTCCCCACTCCTACCCCCGACGAACCCCGGTTACATCCCGGGTCCCCCTTTAAATACCCCGCTGGGGGGATGACGTCACAGTCCCCCACGGCCTGCCTGACGCCACTCTCTGAGGGCGCGCGTGACGTGATGTCACCCACTACACCTCTACACATGTGGGAGGAAACCTGAGCACCCGGAGAATATGCAAGACGTGTGAGGGGGCAACACTATCCCCTGTACAGATGGGCACGGACGATCCACATGCTGCTGTGCTGCTGTACCGCCTTCTCCTGGCGAGCCAGCGATACGGCACCTTCATGACGCCCACGGGAAGAAGAGCGTTTCACGATATCTGAGCGGCGATCCGCCAACCCTCGCTGCTGCCTCCCAAGTGCTGGAATCGTGGCAGCCACGTGCAGCGTGACCAACGCCGTCCGCCGGCTAACGATCACAATGATGATGATGAATCGTTATATTGCTGCAGCCACCACCACCACCACTACCAATCCTTTGACATCAATTTATAGTTTCGATTTAAAGGATTCGTGACTGCAGGGATTCATCTTCTTGGTTCTTTCGGTAAAGTCACGTAGTAGGGAAATAATAATTCAGACGCTGTCTTACCGACAGACCTGTTCTTCACCTGAGGATGGCTGCTTGCGTTGTGGCCGAAACGTCGTGAGAATTATTTTATTATGTTTTATTTTTATTACTTCATTAATTCCCTTCTACGTGACTTTACCGAAAGAACCAAGAAGATCAATTTATAGGTCAAGGTTGGGGGGTGGGGAGGGGCCAAGAGAAACGATTGTTGTTAAAAGTAGCAGCTTGGAAACTATTAAAGAAAGCGCGCAAACGCAACCTCACGCGAGCGGAAATTAGCGCTCTTAATTAGGGGGTGACCCCCAGGCTGCCCCCCCCCCCCCCGGTCCCACGCACAGCTGACGCCAATGACGTCGATTATCGGCGCGTGTCCAAGTGGAGCGCCGCAAGGGGTTGTGAGAGAGCGGTGGGGGTTGAGCGACGGGCGCTTGCGCAAGCGAGGATTTAATTAAGAGGCAACGGTCGGACGTAAAGTCGACCGGACCTAGCGTTTCCCCCCTGGCACAGCGATGGAATAATTAAGTTAAATTAATTACGATGAGCGTGGATTAACGAGCACAGGGGCCGTGCAAGGGGGGGTGGAGATGGTGGGTGGGTGCGGAGGGTGCGGAGGGTGGGGGAAATAACTTGGGGTACTGCTGGGAATCCCGAATGAGAAAGTAAATATGAAGTAAACTTATTTGACGTTGGTCCTCTGAGACAAGGATGCTAACAAGTAGGCACTGGAATGGAAATTAGAAAATGTAATTAACAACAAGTTACGGGACTGAGCTAGCGTGCAGCCCAATCGACGGTAAATTCCTAGCACACGCGGCCCAAAACCGTGCCTGCAGATGAGACCACGGATTTCTCCACTAGAGATGTCTCAATTTTCAGAATCAGAATCTTCGTGTGGACTGGAGGAATCCGATGAGGTACGCCGCTCTTTTTCAAAGACGTCCAATCCAGTGACTTTATACATAAATTACACGTTTCATCGTAACATGTTGGGCAAATCAGCATGAGTGGATTTTTAAATAGCGCTTAGTTTAAATCGGCAAACCCGTGGACTGGTTTTGAGTTTCTAAGTGTGGCCTGTAAAAAGAGACGCCAATATTGTAATGATTTTTGTCTTTTTTCCACAATTTTCTCTCCATTATGTATATCGGCACCACGTCGTGAGAATAATTCCATTCCGGTCTCTCACATTAGAGAAGGGCCCCGCAGAAGCGAGAATCACAGAACTCGCTATCAGATACCTTCAAGCGACCATTAGGCCATACACGAGGGGAGGCAGCAGCACTTTTCCACATGCCCTGCCTGTGAGAGTAATGTTTGCGACGGTGGGCAAGATGTTAACTACCTCGCCTGGGATACAGGAGGTCGTGGGTTAAATCCCAACCCTGACGCCTTCTGTATATTTGGAGTTTTGTCTCCTCGTGGCCGCGTGGATTTTTCTCCGGGTCCTCCGGTTTTTCCCTCCACATTTAGAATCAACGTGCGTTCAGAGTAAATGGCTGCTTTACATGATGAGCCGCTTTGTTGAGAGATAATTTGTGGCCCGGTCTCTTCTGAAAAACAGCGAAAATCTCAGTGGGACTTACCCGGTAAAATGTAAGTAGTTAAGTTTTAGTTTACTTCATTTGTCTTTCTCAGAGTGGGAATTTTGCCAGATCAAAAAATTATTGTGTTACTTCGGCCTAAACTTGATAGACGGTGGCAGCTGTTCAGCGCCAACCTTTTAAATCCATCTCCGATCAGCGGCGCCGACCCAAAACGCTCCGGTTCAATAGCCGCAGCAGCGGCAGCAGCATGGCTGTAAAGACTAGCGTCTCTTCTGTGATGGGGGGGGAGGGCAGTGGCGGAGGTGGCGTCGCTGCCTGTCTGCTTGCGCCAGCACACCGTTAAGCCTCTTACAAACAGCTTGAAACGGCGCGCGTATGCATCGTGCCACACCTCCCCACGGCCCCCACTTCCTCCCCTCCCCGGCTTTGTAAAAACAATCAAAGCGTGACCGCTGAAGGGTATTATTTATTTGCACGTTACTTATTTCCTGCGGGACGGACGATAATCACCCGATGCTCTGTGTTGGCGCTCATTTGAACAGGAAGAGGTCGCGAGGGTTTGAACGGCCGATCGGGGCCTCGACTCGGCTCAATGCCCTTCAAGAGTGAACACCGTTCCAAGCCGGCAAAGCCAGTCTATTATTAAGACAGCCTCGGGTTTGTTGTTTCAGGAGTCGACAGCGCAGAGAATTGCTCGCGCGGAAACACACACGTATGCAAAGGGGGACGCGCGTCTTGGGCGTGTGCTCACACACAGGTGGTTCAGATAATCATCACTGCTATTGGCCGTGAGCGGGAATCGAACTCAGGTAGCTGGGTTCATAGCGCGTCGCGTTAAACGCTGCGCCACCGCTCCACACACACACACGTGCACAACAAAAACGATAACCGCCATTCGCCATACTAAGTGCCGGTGACGTCACCACGGCACTTGTGCCAGGCTATGTGCACTTTTAAGGCTACGTGAAGTGTCGAACGCCCCGCCTGGCAAGAGGTCACGGGAAAGACCCAGGTGCGAAGCATGCACACAATGGCAAAAATCCCCCCGTATAGCCTTAACAGACTTGGGTTAAGTGTTGTTAGCGAACACTTATGAAGGCCGGCATGGCACACAAGGGGGTGGGTGGCCAGCAGCACGCCCGACTGCCTTTGTCTCACCAGTGGCGATGTTTACACATCTCACCAGGTACTCATTTGAGTCACATTCATCACCCGAGGGGAGGCTCAGGTATTGATTCTGATAATCGTCGCCGGTGTCAGCTTTGAGTGAGAATCGAGCTGAGCTGGGCCCGCCAGGTTCGTAGCGCAGCACACCAATCGCTACACTACCGCTCTCTGCACACACACACACACCACACACATACCCGCGTGCGCACGGCGCACCCACCGTGCAGCACCGCGACGGGCGGGCGCGTGTTGTCAGTGTGCGCGCTCAGGCACTGCTGGTAGGGGGCCAGGGCCGAGGAGGCGGCGGACGTGGGGCCGCCGCCGCTGCCGCCCCCCCGCGCGGCCGTCGCCGCCGACACCAACACCTCCTCCAGCTCGCGCCACTGCACCGCCGCTTCGCGGTCGTACTCCTGGTCCAGCGAGATGTGAGTCGCCGCCTGCATCTCGCCTGCCACGCCGGGACAACGGGGAGAGGCGAGGGGGGCGGTGAGGGGTTTGGAGTGAGGGGGGGGGGGTCACACCGACCGTCGTGGCGAGCAGTGCTCGACATTGGCATTTAGCTCCTGGACATATTGCGGCCTTACGCAATAGAATAAGACTTCCAACGGATACGTAAGTTAAACACGTAGGCTTTCGCGAATAACATTATTCATAATAAAGGAAGGCTTCTTCACAATTGTGGCAAATCGTCTCATGAAGCTGTTTTTAATCACCAGCTAAACGTCGTACTCAAAGTGTGATGAGTTTACTCTCCGCCACACCGGTGTGCTGAAGTAATAGCTAATTGTCACTTTTTGTTCAGGTGACAAACCTTACCAAGATGGCAGCCTTCATGCGGCTCACATTCGTCATGATTACTCACTCTCTGTCGAGTGAGAAATCACGACGATTGACATCAACGCGGCGACCGAACATCGATCATCGACCTCCCCGTCTCTAAAGCAACAACAAACACCTTTAACACGTAGGCTTTCGCGACCAATATAAACACCTTAGCAATTGGCTGTGTTGGGCGGTGGTGGGTTTAACGACACATTCAAAATTTACCCTTTTTGGCTCACGCTCACACGTGTGTGCCCGTGTGCCTTTGTTCGCGATGCGCCTTTTTTTTCTCGCGCGTGTGCTCCCGCCGTGCCGTGCGTAGCGCGGCAACGCCATGGAGGCCTCACCCTGCGCGGGTTTGTGGTCGTGGCCGAGGAAGAGACGCGTGGCGGCACTGTCGACGTACGGCAGGGGCAGCTGCGGGAGCGGGTCCTCCGGTCCCGCGCCGCTCACGTGCTACGCACGCGCAAACACACAGCGGCACAACGCAGCGTCAAGTCTCGCTTACGGACACAAATGTATGAACGTACATGGGATTAACTTCTTTCGCATCGTACGTAGCTAACCGTGGTAATCGGAGGTGCGGGAGGACAACAAACTAAATACAAAAGCACGCAGAGCGTAATTTTTGTTATGCTTCATACACATCGCAGTATTAACCAGGGCGACCATTGGGCTCAAACCACGAACCTCTGCAACTCCCCGCTTTGGCCACATCACCCCCCCCAGTTAAGTCACAGCGAAATAATAACGCAGTTACACAAACGACAAAAAAAACTATCGGCTTATGATGTTACACAATGCGTTATGTCACCGTGACATACAACAACACTGAAATGAAACACGGAGCAAACCAAAGACCAGATTGCTTCTTATACTAAGCGACGTCCCGGTGCGATATGATGTACACGGGTACATATACAGGACATATATACGGCTCGCACACACGAGGAGCATAAACTCAGGAGTTTATGGATGCGAGCTGCCACTAAAACGACCTGTGCACGGCCTGATTACAATTATAATTCTGTGTCTATTCCCTCCTACAGATGGAACAGATGTCCTGCCTTCTTCTGGTGAGCCAGGGGTACGGCAACCTCCTCGACGCCCGTAGGAAGGGAGTTTCAAAACATGTGTGTGACCCACCAACCCTTGTTGCTGCCTTCTCAGTGCTGTGTTACAGGCAGCCAAGTGCGGCGCAGTGCTGGACTACAGGCAGCCACGTGCAGCGTACCTTGTACACGTAGAGATACTAGATTTGAAGCTTTCGTGACCGCAAGGATTCATATTCTTAGGTTTTTTCGGTAAAGTCACTTTCGGTAAAGTCACTTTACCGAAAAAACCTAAGAACACGTAGAGATACTTGCACCGTCCCTCACGGCCCACGTACCTTGTACACGTAGAGATACTCCACCATCTCTCACGCCCGCGTACCTTGTACACGTAGAGATACTCGTGCCGTGTCTCACGGCCCGCGTACCTTGTACACGTAGAGATACTCGCGCAGGAATGCGGCCTGCTGGATGGGCGACTGCCGGCTCTCATTGATGAGGATGTGGCGGAACGCCGACACGGAGTTGTCGAGCTGCCGCAGGGTGAAGGACTGCCGCCCGATGGTCAAATTGATGTGGTCCTCGGCCAGCGACCAGCCCTTGCCCTTGTAGACCTGCAGTGCCTGGCTGTAGCAGCGCAGGGAGTGCTTCCTCTGCGACGGAAGGGGGAAGGCGGTCAGCCACAGCGGCGAATTTACGGTTCGGTCATGGCTCCAAGTTTTTGCAAAATACCCCTTATTTCCATGAACATGTCTTTTGCCCGTTTACGGCTTCTCATATAATTTTTTTGGGCGCTCAATAATTCTTGTTAACGCTGCTGAAATTATACACTCCCAGTGCTTTTTTGATGGGATATGTAAATTTTTTTTTTTTTACAACGGAGCGACAGATATATTAAGGCGGTGTTATTTTCCGCCGAATGATTTGGTCATTTCTATCATGTACCCAAATGAGCTAAAGACTCCCCCCCGTAAGCCTCCGGTAAATCCCGCGACGTCCGTGTGGCTGTATCCAATGCTCTGGGTTACAAGTCCACGTGCGTGGCATCCACGGAGAGAACTAAATTACACTATAAACTATTTGAATTTTACCAGGTAAGGCCAACTGGGCTATATAGCGGTTTTTCAGAAGCGTCCTGGCTATCACATATGATAACTCAACAAAGTGGCTTATCATCTGCAAATATATAGCAACCTGGAAAAAAATCCACACGATCACGGGGACAAAGACATATAAACTACAAATTTACAGGCTTCAGGGTTCAGGATCGAAACCACGACCTCCTGCATACCAGGCAAGGAAGTTAACATCTCCTAGCCACCACGGCGAGAGAGAGGCTCACCTGACTGGCTTTGCTGTAGCGGTGTCCCGCCAGGATCATGTGGAAGGCAAACTTGCGCGCGAGCGGGACCCTCATGTTGATGAAGCAGTGAGCCGCCTGCTCCAGAAACAGGGCCGAGCGGAGGTCCGAGTCCTGGACCACACGATGCAGAGAAAGAGAGAGAGAGAAACCTCAGTTGCAAACGCGGTCTCCGCTGGCTTACGTAAAATACTGCAAGCAAGAACAACAAAAATAATAATCACGATCGTGACTTTCAATCGACGAATTGGCCTCGCCGTAGCGCGTTCACCGCTTGTTACAGACTTTCGCGGTTCGATTCTGGTGTGCCGCTATCCGCTTCGCAGTGGAAGTTCAATATGTCCCGCAACGTCGTACAAATACGGGTAGGCCCGCTGCACGCTGGCGTCATGGTACGGCATTAGCAAAGAATAAAAAAACATTTACCTGAAAAACTGTTTAATTTGGATTACACACAGCAGCAATTATGAGCCTCCACTGGCAGACTAATATGCCTCAGGTCACTCTTGCAAATAGGACAATCCCTGGTCTCTTCGAATTCTCAGTTGGTTAAACAAATTTCGATTTAAAGCTTTCGTGACTGCAGGGATTCATCTTCTTGGTTCTTTCGGTAAAGTCACGTAAAAGGGAAATAATAAAATAATAAAAATAATACATAATAAAATAATTAAATTTCGATTTAAAGCTTTCATGACTGCAGGGATTCATCTTATTGGTTCTTTCGGTAAAGTCACGTAGAAGGGAAATAATAAAATAATAAAAATAAAACATAATTAAATAATTCTCACGACGTTTCGGCCACAACGCAAGCAGCCGACAGACCTGGTCTTCACCTGAGGACGGCTGCTTGCGTTGTGGCCAAAACGTCGTGAGAATTGTATTTTATTATGTTGAATTTTTATTATTTTATTATTTCCCTTCTACGTGACTTTACCGAAAGAACCAAGAAGAAAAGTTAACTAAACCACCGCTCGCGTGGGTTTTCTCCAGGCTCTCCAGTTTCCTCACATACGCTGAACATTTAATTGATCCAAAATCCCATTCCAGGACTCTCCTGAAAACAGAACAAGCGTCGTAATAAATAAGAATGGCATGAACACCAAACGTGCTAAAGTACGATTATTAACATCATCAATCAACATCACCAATCAGCATCATGCTTCCAAGGGGAACGAGTATGGTAGGGTACAGCACTGGAGCATCATCATAATTAGTCACAAAAGGTTTTTTTGGGTTAGATAGTGAAAATATAAATATGTCATTAACCCGCCACCGCCGCCACCACCGCTGTTGCAATAATAACGAGGAACTGACGATTGAGTTATAATCGTCAATGAATTAGCCTGCGCGCGGCGCCCGAAAGCGGAAAACCCAAGGCGGCGTTTGAAGTGACGCGCAGTCAGGGCATGGAGCTCTACAGATAATTGCTCCGGCAGAAGAGGCGGAGTTAACTCGATGAATGTCACCGTGTCTGACAGATGATGAACGACAGGGCATCTTTGCGAAGGAGCGCGCATTGCCGAGATCAAGAAGGGCGTTAAATAATACGGGAAACAAAAATGTAACCAAGTGGAGGGGAGGGGGACACAGGCCAAAGCCTTGGCCGGCGATCTCGCTTCAGACGCCAATCCGTGATAAATCTCCGCTTGACATGACCTGTCAGGTGAGCGGTGACGTGAGCGAGCACGCGGGTCTCTCTCGCAAAGCAGCCTGTGGCTGAACGTTACCCATGCACGTCACCAACTACTACCCACCCCGTGCCACCAAATACTACCCACCTCGTGCCAGCCAATACTATACATCCACACCACTAAATAGTATCCACTCGTGCCAAAAAATACTACCAACGCACGCCACCAAATATGACCCACCCACGCCACTGATAACTACTCACTCATTCCCCCAAATACTACCCACACGCGCCACAAAATACTACCCACCCTCACCAACAAATATCCACCTGTGCCACCAAATATTACCCATCCACGCCACCAAATACTACCCCCACTCGCACCGAAAAATACTACCCACACGCACCACAAAATCCGAACCGCTCGTTCTCAACCTGAGCTAGAAAGCGTCCAAGAGATGCCAGGGAATGGGAGAGGTAGGTCAGAGCTCTTCACGCCACGGTGATGACGACGTGAGCAGCGGCGACCGTTACCTCGCTGATCAACCGAATGAGCATGGAGGCCGCGTCCGAGAACGTCCCCTTGCTCTTGAGGATCTCCACGGCGAGCATCGTGCAGCGCTCGGCCAGGGCTCCGTTCCTGGGGGGCCGGGGGAGGAGAAGGGGGAGGCACAAGTAGTCAGGTGGCAAGGGACCCTACCGCCGTGTGACGGTCGGCACGCTGGATATGGGCAACCGCTTTGCACTGCACACGGAGATATATGCAACATTGGTCGTAGGGCTAGGTATAAAATGAAACATTTAAATACCTTCGCAGCAGTATGATGATGAAAACATACTTCAATACTTCGGCAGTAGAAATGATAACCATGATCATGAAAGTGAACATGTTTCAAAACATCAATCCAGCTGCAAGTTGATTTCGTGTGCATGTACAACTTTTTCCGCGCCGCACGTAGCTAACCGCGCTAATCGGAGGTGCGGGGATAACGCCGTGGGCAGAAGGGAGCGCGGAAAAATCGATCGCTGGACAGTGGTTCAAACGCTCCCAAACTCTATGCTCTCCGGCTTCAGAAACCCGCACTGACCAACTCGGTGAAGTATGGTCGAGGAAGGCCCGACACGGCCAGCCACAATGCGGGAAGGACCTTGACCAGTGTCGCGCGTGTGACGGCCTTCCCAAGGCATGCGGGTTTCGTAGGGCTCACAAAAGGCCCTAATCCAGCAGTGGATTGATAATTACGTGCTGTACATTTGCAAGCTGCCATGGGGAAGGTGCCGTGGTGGAACAGCGAGCGCACTGGACCCGCAATCCAAAGGTCGCCGGTTCTAATCCATCTCCCTAGCATGGCAGTGGAAAACAGCAGTGCGAGTTTCTTAAATTTCTTCCGCCACCTCTGCCCACTGAAGCCTTTTTACACCTGATGAAGGAAGCTTGTGTTGCCTCCGAAACGTTGTGATTTAATTGATTTATTTCCATCTATTATTATTTTATTTTTATTATTTTTTACCTACGTGACTTTACCGAAAAAACCTAAGAGTACCGTATAAACGAGTTCACTGCGGTTAGTTTGCTTGATGGCAAGCAGTGCTTTGGGGGGGGGGGGGAACGGTTGCCTACGCAACCCAAACATCGGATCATCGACTAAATGACTGTAGTCTGTGCTCCTTCAGGAGAAAAATATCACAACTACACAAACTCTGTCTCAATGAAGCCCTCTTATAGTGGCTGGTAGGCCTCGACTTTGGTATTTGCTCCTGAACATATTGCGATGCTCAAGAATAGAATCTAAACTTCACCTGCAATTTTCTGCGGTCTAAAAGCAAGGCAATTCAGCGGTGTGACTCAAAGGTCAGATACACTGAGCCTACATGCACCTCTCGTGTTACTCTGGGATCGAACGCAGGTTTTAGTGACCCGTGATAAAAAAAATGGTTCTTAAGCGGAGTAGCTAAGCGCCCGATGAATGCAAATCCTCACCGTTATCCTTCCTGGGACAAACATCCATGACGTTAAGCCAAGAGTTGTTGTGGCAGTGGCTGCAGGCTGACATTAATAAAGCCCGAGTAATAAAACCGAAGAGGCCTTCAGATTCGGTGATTTACCATCGGCATTGGGTCGTGCCTTGGTATTTCTCCATTGCTTTTATTAGATTATCATTACTATTATGGTATCTTGTACCTCCACGTAAACAAAAATGTTGCAGAATTATTTTTTGTTTACTCTCCCGGACTATCGTGCCAAATCAGATCACATTGAATTTGCAGGGTTTTTTTTTCTTGCCCTAAAGTTATTGTGATTAAGGTTGTTGTATTAACGGTGGGCACGTTTACAAATCACACCCTGCTGTGCATGCAGCAGAATTCGTTATTTTATGCACAAACGGACGACGGCCCATCCGATGGGGGGTGGGGGGGGGAGGGCCTTCACCCAGCAGAGCATTAACAAAGGGCTGTACATTGTTACAAGCGTGTTTCAAGAAGCACGGCGTGCTAAACCGCTGTGCCACTGCTCCTCCGGCACCCTGCACCACGTGACACTGCCCCGCACCACGACGACCACCACCACCACCACGAGCACAACCGCAAACCACTCTCCGCACACCGACGTAAAGCACATGTCATGCAACACGCGCATATGGACAAACACGTGCACTGTCTCAACAGCACTACGTGTAGAAAAATAGAAAATGTGGGGGGAAAGGAGGAGAGCTAAGGGTTGGAGAGAGGAGGAGGAGGTGGCAAGGACAGTAATGGTCAGCACACTGGACTTGCAGACTGGAGGTGGAGAGTTTGATTCCATCCCCCCGCTGCCTCTGTCCGCCCAGCTGTATAAATGTGTCTAACTGGAGCGAGTCGATCGGCAGGTCGCATACGGTGGGGGGGTAAAGTGTGGGTACTCCCAGCTCCTCCGAGAAGTATAGCGAGCGGAGGAAATACCTCCTTCTAAAAGGGTTCTTCAGAGCTACAAATTGTAAAGGAACTTCGGTCAGCAGTGACGAGCAAGTCATTTCAGGCCCACACTTTTAACATATTTTAAGAAACCTATTTAAGTCATTAGCCATATAAGGTGGCCCACGTTATTAGAGGCATTAGCACCGGGACTTTGCCACATCTCCAGTGACAGAGAATATTACCGGGAGAAAATATTAAACATCACACATTTGACGGCGGCATTATAACGTTCACTGGGAATGACCTACAGAAAATGTCAGGATAAGTGAATCAAGACTGCTGCAAAGTTGGGCTCAGGTAATTAGATTTAACAAAAGTTCGACGCACAGTTGGAGGCAGCCGCACAAGGGGCACAACAGTTGGAAAACACGGTCGACTCTTGTTACCTAGGACGGCTATTATAGGTGGACAATAGGAGTTTGGAGTGCTTTTGGAAAGCTGAACTTGGATATGAAAAGTAACGTACCAATGTGCCCAAAGAGGAGAGCTTTTAATTACGAGCAACATGTATCTGGCTCAGGAGCCGGCAAGCAAGGCCAGATGTGAAGGTAATGGCTCGTTCATTGTGTACGACATCACTCAGCATACTGCGAGGACACCGCGTCGTCACCTACACATGGTGGCGTGCGATGTCAGCGGCAACAACGAGTTTGGGGAGCCGCGCGTATTCACCTACGCTGGGCCTATCAGGCTTGGTGCTCACTCCCCAGCAAAATTGCGTGCCGAGAACAATAGAAATGTATTTCGAAAACTTCTCAAAATCGTATCATTTCAACCCACCTTGTAATTCTTAAACTCAGAATTAATAATGTGCTGCAAGAAGGCTTCTCCAAAGACGTGCCGTGCCGTACCGGCTCAGCACAGCTTGGTAGCGCAGTGGAAAAAGGGGGTACACGGCTAACCCAGGACACGCACACGGGCGTTGCTTCACCTGCAGTTGTCTTTGTAGGTCTGGATGGCCTTCTCCATGTAGTGCGCCGGGTACTGCCTCTGTGCGCTGGGCTGCAGGAACACCGACAACGCCGCCATCTCCTGTGGGGGAGAGAGGGGGCCGGTGAAAGGGTGGCGGCACACGTTGGTGCGTGCGGGCGCCAGAACGTTCCTCCGGAGAAAATAAGCGGCGCTCGCAGAGGTTTGGCGGAACGGCAGAGACTCGCGAAAACAGCGCCGCGGTCCACAGTTCCACTTGGCCAATCCTCGCCGAGATTTCGAATGGAAAATTCGGTCGTTGTGCACTGCAATGAGCCTTTACCACTTGGTGGGGAAGTCAACCGTGGTTTAGTTTATTTTGCATGTAAACCACAGGAGAACCAGGATGAGTCTCATTTGCAAGTGTGACTATGGTCACCAAAAAATACAAAGCAAAACTAATAAAACGATAGGTGAATGTCAATATTTGATGGACAGTACGGTGGAGTGAAATTTGAAAACATGACACGTTACATTGGATACGCACAACACACTTACACGCATACATGTCCATCACATGGGTCACACACGTAGGAAGATAAAGATCCCAGAATAGCCTCTAACAGACTGATGGGGCAAGTGCTGTTAGTGTGCGGTACCTACGAAGGCCTGCACAGCACATGAGGGGGTGGGTGACCAACACCATGCCCAGCCGCATTTGTATCCCTCGCGCTTTATTTTACGTGTACACACCGTACCTCCGATTAGCTCGGCTGGCTACGTACGGTGCGAAAGAAGTTCAACAAACATGTATATACAGCTCACAAGGTACTCGTTTAAGGAAGAGGCGAACTCGGAGAGGCCCAGGACTAGTTGAGATAATCGTCACTGGTGTTGGCTTGTGAGTGAGAATTAGACTCCGCTCTCCAACAAATATACACACACACATACAACCTATATTTTTATGAATACTCTGCATGATATTGGACACGCATGTAAACACGAGGCCTAGAATTTGTATCAGTACTCTCTAAAATTACACGGACCAAACGTTTGCAGAGAGACAGGAGGACTCCGTTAATTGAATGAGTGCTCTGTATGGCCACGCTGGACCCGCACACATAAGAAATCTATCTTAATTTTAATTAACAGCTCTACATCACATGGGACACACACACACACAAGACTTTTGCCAATTTCAATCAGCGTTCACTATCCAACGTGGGATACGCACGTGTGTACATATACACACACACAAGCCCTATATCTTAATTTGAATCGGTACTTCTCCAAGTCATGTGGGAAGGACACAAAAGCAAGTGATGTAAATTTAATAAAATCAGCTCTCTCTAAGGTCCGCACACGCATACATACACATCACCCATCTATTTTAATCAGCACGAACACATATCACATGCAACAATCGATTAGACACGCACATAATCCTAATTTAAATTTGCACTCTCTGCGTCACATGGGACACACCAAGTCCCCCCCCCACCCCCCCGTATTAGCCTCTTTAAGCTGTCGGGGCAAGTGCTGTTAGCGAGCGCCTATTAAGGCTGGCACAGCACATGAGGTGGTGGGTTCTGAACACCACACTCGGCTGCCTTCGTCTCCCCAGTGGCGATGTATATACACACCGCATCAGCTACTCATTTGAGGCTGAGACGAGCTAGGAGGGAGCCAGAAACCGGTTCAGATAATCGTCACCGGTGTTGTTCATGAGTGGAGTGCCCTAACCGAGGTCTCGTGGAAATAAAATGTGGCGGGGGGGAAAAAAAAAGTCAGCGTACCAGTGCCCCGGCCATGTAGAGCCAAGCTTGTTCTCCCTCAAAGTCCTTCTTGGCCGTGTGGTAGCAGTTGTACGCCAGGTCGTACAGCTGCACCAGGAAGCACAGGTCTGCCATCTTTCGCACCTGAAGTTCAGGAGCCTCTGCTGTATACCTGCACATGCGCACGTACACGTAAACTAAACAAGGTAAGTGCCACTGAGTTGTATAGCTCTTTTTTGGAAGCGACCTGGCAATCACAAATGATAGCTCAACGAAGTGGCTTGTCACATGGAAAGTTATAGCAGCCAAATACCAGGAAGTCGGAGAAAAATCCACGCGACCACGGGGAGAACATGCAAACTCCAAATATATAGGCATCAGGGTCGGAATCGATCCCACGACCTACATACCAGGCGAGGTAGTTAACATCCCGCCACGGCGTTACCCCAGCTGAAGAATAAAGACAAAGAAGACCCCCTCGTGTAGCCTACACACAGATTGTGGGGACAAGTGCTGTTAGCGAGCACTTATAAAGGTCAGCACGGTGCACAAAGAGGCTGGTGTGACCAGAACCACACTTGGCGATCTTTGTCTTCCGAGTGCCGATTATAACACACCAGCACCGGGAACTCAGTGAAGTGTTTGTCGACCCAAGGGAGGCCCAAGACCGGATCAGAGAGATGCAACTGATGTTAGCCGTGGCCGGGAAGTGTAAATAAGCGTAGGAGCGGTGGGCGCAGTCAGAAGCAAGTTGCACGTTGAATCTGGTGGCCCGAGGTCGATCGACGGACATTGCTAACAACGGTTGCGGGTGATGTTTTGACAGAGAGATGGTTTATTATACAAAGTGAGAACTTGAGCCTGTTGGGGCTTGTTTACCAGGCTGAGTTGTGACCATCAATTAAACATAATAAAGGATTATTATGAATAATATTGATCGCGAAAGCCTACGCGTTAAAATGACCATCAATTAAACTCCACACAAGCTTTCACGACCACGGCTAGGATTCATAATTGGTTACCGATTGCTTATATTGTGTCAATTTGTTTTTAACGCTAACCCTACACGACCCGACGGAGCCAATCAAATCAAGTTGTCGCATGGGCGAATATTGTGTTAGCGGGGCACAGAAGCCCACGGGGGAGTGGGTGGGTGGGAGGGGTGTGGGAGGGGGTGTGGGAGGGAGGAGGTGTGGGAGGGAGGGTGGGTGAGAGGGTGGGTGTGAGGGAGGGGGTGTGGGAGGGTGGGTTGGAGGGAGGGAGGGTGGGAGAGAGGGTGGGTGTGAGGGAGGGGGTGTGGGAGGGAGGGTGGGAGAGAGGGTGGGTGTGAGGGAGGGGGTGTGGGAGGGAGGGTGGGTGGGAGGGAGGGGGTGTGGGAGGGAGGAGGTGTGGGAGGGAGGGTGGGTGAGAGGGAGGGTGGATGGGAGGGAGGGTGGGTGGGAGGGAGGGAGGGTGGGAGAGAGGGTGGGTGTGAGGGAGGGGGTGTGGGAGGGAGGGTGAGTGCGTGGGAGGGAGGGTGGGAGAGAGGGTAGGTGGGAGGGAGGGGGTGTGGGAGGGAGGGTGAGTGGGTGGGAGGGAGGGTGGGAGAGAGGGTAGGTGGGAGGGAGGGGGTGTGGGAGGGAGGGTGGGTGGGAGGGAGGGAGGGTGGGAGAGAGGGTGGGTGTGAGGGAGGGGGTGTGGGAGGGAGGGTGGGTGGATTGGTGGGTGGGAGGGAGGGGGTGTGGGAGAGAGGGTGGGTGTGAGGGAGGGGGTGTGGGAGGGAGGGTGGATCGGTGGGTGTGAGGGAGGGGGTGTGGGAGGGAGGGTGGGTGGATCGGTGGGTGGGAGGGAGGGGGTGTGGGAGGGTGGGTGGGTGGGAGGGAGGGTGGGTGGGTGGGAGGGTGGGTGGGTGGGAGGGAGGGTGTGAGGGAGCGGGTGTGGGGGGGAGTGTGAGGGGGAGGGTGGGTGGGTGAGAGGGAGGGAGGGAGGGTGGGTGGGAGGGTGTGTGGGTGTGTGGTAGGGTGTGTGGATGGATCGGTGGGTGGAACAGCTCTGCTCACAGGAGGCCCGTGGTGTTCTTGCTCTCTGCCACGGCTCTCTCGGGGGTCTTGGCACCGCCAAACCACTTCTTGGTGGCGCTGAAGAGCGAGCGGCTCAGTCCCTTGCGTGACACCAGCTGTCGTGCGCACGCACACAGGCAAACGTGCAGACACATTCATTACACTGGTCAACACACTTTTTCTGGCATAAGGTATTCCAATGGGTTTAAGGTAATTTTGGGGTGCTGATTCCAAATCTGGCAGTTTTTGTCTATTACATTAGGTTTGTGAGATATCAAATATTGCATTTTCAATAAAACTGCAGAAGAAAATTATTAAATAAATGTGTATATCTACATAAAATGATATTATAAACACACTATCCTAAAAATACAGCACCATATTTTAACACTAAAGCAGTCACTGACTCGCAACAACTTGCAATCATAAGTGACGGAGTTAATTTCGGGTAAAATCAATGAAAACGGGTATGGCGATAGCATAAAAATGAGATGTGATAAAGCAAATCTGAGATCAGATTTGGAATCAGCACCCTGAAATTAGTCTAAAACAGATGCAAAAGTCCAGGCCAGAATTTTTTTTTATTTTTTGGTTGACCAGTGTTATAGGCTGTTGGGGAAACTGTTGTTCGAGAACACCTATAAAAGGGCAGTACGGCACATAAGGCGGTGGTGTGGCCAGAACCACGCCTTGTCAACTTTGTCTTCCTAGTGGCGATGGTTACACACCGCACCGGGCAGAGCCAATCCCTAGGGGTATGTCGAATCGGGGCGACCGCCTCGAGCCCCGTGGTTTAGCATCACCCCGCGCTTCGACGTCATGGTGTCATCAGGTGTAACACTTCCCGTTTAGTTTGAAGGCATCTGGGTGCGATTTTCCCCGGGCCCCACACCTCGCTATGGACGGCCCTTGCACCAGGCAATTACGAGAGACCGAGTCGACCCATCCAGCAGTACGCCAACCACACACACGGACGGACGACACAGCTGACCCGTAACGCCGGCGGCGGTCACTTTACCTGGTCGTTGAGCTGCCGGATGCTCCTCTCCACGTGCGGTAGGAGGCCCTGCACCGTGAACTCGTGCACAAATTGCCGGATGCGCTCGTGATCGGCCAGCGTCAGACACAGGCCCCGGGGTCCTGCGGTTTGCGGGCCCCCCCCACTACTGCCGCCGCCGCCACCGCCACCACCGCCGCAGCCCCCCACAGCCGCCGTGGCCAAGGGGGGTGGACCCCCAACGCCGAGGGTACTGCGGGGGTCGGCGGGGTGCGGCTGCGAGTTGCCCACGTCGTCGGGCGCCGGCGCCCAGCCCGCCTCGTCGCCCTGTGTCGACGACGACGGCGGGGGCTGCTGCAGGGGATGCGCTTGCAGGTCGCAGCCCTGCCCAGCGCCATCTGTTGACGGCGCAAAACGGTGGTCAGCTGGCAATACGACGTGGCCAACCGCCTACAGGCCCTTTCGTCAAATCTGCTGCTGGATGAGGGCCTCCATCCCGGTTTGTCTCTGTACGAGTCACGTTTGTTATTTGATCGCACGCGACCGCATTGGTCGGTGCTGGCTGCTGCACCGCTATGTATACGCGAGTCCACTTCTTTCGTTGGGCCACGGCTCGTAGGGCTACTCCAAAATCCTTGGGAGGGCCACGTGTGGGCCACAGCCACACAAGATGCAGCACCCTGGTATTGTAACCGTACTCAAGAGGCTTTGATTCTGTATAAACTGCGCGTGCGATAAATTCTAGCTCCGTTGCACTACGCTGGGTTGAACTAGGTCAGGGGTCGGCGACCTGCGGCTCCGGAGACGCACGCGGCTCTTTAAGGACGGCATCGTGACGTTATTTATTGAGGGCCACCGTCTCGTATTCACCACTTGCATTGCGGCTCTTGAAATCTTGAGTTTTTTTTACCGAATAAAAAAAAAACAGGGCTCGTCTTGTTATTTTGGTTTGCCAAACCCTGTGCTAAGCTGGATTAAGCTGATGTAGTAAACTGGGGTATGGCTGGAAGGAGAGAGGGGGGGAGGGGGGAAGGCGGGGCACGGCAGGGGGGTGGGGCAGCACCGTGATCAGCGTTCGGGGCGGCCACCGTGACCTCGTCCTCTCCTTCCGTAAAGCTGACCACCGTTGTGCCTCCACCGTCCAGCAACCTCTGTGGTACCCGCAGCGGGAGATGCAGTGTCAGCAACAGGCAAAGGTAGCGGCAACAGCAGGCAACACAGTAGCAACAAGTTAGCCATGGCCAGGAAGATCGGCATCAGGAACAGCAGGAGATAACAGCAGCAGCTGAATCAACAGCAACGTGAATTTATAATCGGCTCTGATAGAGTGGCCATGACGGCGGGATACGGTGCAGAAAATTTCACACATTACATGCTGGTACCGCACAGTTCAGGCCGATGCAGAGACTGGGGCGGGTACCGCATAGTGCAGGCTGGTGCAGCGGTTCAAGTACTGGCTCCAGGGGTCTGGTATCTGCTCCTCGCCATCGCGACTGGGCTGCCTGGAGTTGATCTTGAGCAGGTGGCACGCTTGAGAGCCGTACAGCTGCTTCATGCTCTCGTACACAGACTCCGCTCTGGCAGAGAGACATAGACAACCAGGCAAGCGACAATCCATCATCATTGTCATCACAATACCTCGCTGATCTCGTCAAGGAGGGTAAACCATTACGCGAACTCCGTCATCCTCGCAGCGGCTTTGGGTTAACCGTCGAATAAAGACGGTCATCGCGTTGCGCGATTTCAGATGCGCTTCTGCGGCCATCTGGAACATTCTTCCGTCCGATATTACGAAGCCACTCGAGTTTTTTAATCTAGATTGAAAACTCATTTCTTTTGAACGGCTTTTTGTGTTAAGTTTGTTGTCTTTCCCTCGCACCTACAATTAGCGCGGTTGGCTACATACAGTGCGAAAGAAGTTCAACATAATTTGACAACCCACCGCTAGATTACAGCCTCCCTGAAGCCGTTACCGGCCCTCACGGTCCATGCATTTCAACATCGCAATGCGGGCAACGCTCACGAAAAAGTAGGTCAAAGGTGCGGAGAAAGAAAGATGGTTGGCAAGTTTGGCCTTGCAGCGAGGCGTGAGAGAGGTGGCTGCTAGCGTTTGGAGGCAGAAAAGGTATTAAAGCAATGAATATCTTTCGTAAAAAATGGTGTTTGTGATCGAGCGAGTCACGCTTTCATTCCCTTTCCCTTCTTGCTCCCCTTCACTGGAACAAACTCCCACTGCACATGAAACAATCATCTTCACTAACCAGCCTCCGTTCCTCCCTTACAACCGTCTTTTCATCTCCTGAACCCAACCTCCTACTGCTACTCCCTGCCCCCGCCCCCCAGCTACGACAAGGCCTAGCCTAACCCCCATCACTTCCCAACCCCTATCACTACCCCATATCACTCCCCCAAACCCATATCACTATCCCTATCAATACCCAAACCCTTATTACTACCCCAACCCCTATCACTACTCCTATCGCTACCCCTCCCATTACCCCAACCCCTACAACTACCCCTACCCCTCCCATTCACCTCTCCCACATATTCTCCTGTCATCATACCTACACCGCCACTCTTTATCTCAACCAGTCATCTCACGTACAATGTAATAATAAAGCGCCTTGGAATATGGCACGATATAAATCTTGGTAACATAAGATCACGCCCGAGCAATCACGCGAGTGCTTGTCCACACGGGAGGGAGAGCGCGCGTGCGCGAGCGATCGAGTGCTCGTCTGCACGGGAGGGAAAGCGCGTCAGCGAGCGGCCTCGAGCGAGTGTTCCCGTGCGAGCGATCGAGCAGGAGTGCTCGTACCTGCGCTCGTCCCCCGTCGCCATGTCGTGCACGAGCACGTAGTACTTGAGCGTGTTGGGCGACAGCCACTTGGGTTGCGGGTAGTCCCCGCTGTGCTGCACCCGGTGCTGGTCCTGGGACAGCCGCCCAAACATGTCCATGGGGTCGGCGTGAGACGACGACACCACCAGCATGCCTGAGCGCCGGCAGCAAGTCAAGGGGTCGCTGTGGTCATCGTTACGGCATCGCCATTACCACAATCTGGGTTGCTGCGAGTGTCGCTCCTCCGCCGTCCATTGTTGTCGGTGGAGGGCAATGCCCTCCAATTAGAAGCAGCAGCAATGGGCGGCAGGGTGGTGGCACAGTGGTGACACTCGTGACTTGCAGCAATAGCCGCCTGAGTTTGATTCCCTACCCGGGCTCCCTTTATGTGTGGAGTTTTGTATGCTCTCCCCCTGTTCTGCAGTGAGCGAGTAAGTAAGTGTCAGTGGAGTTTGTATGTTCTCTGCCTTTTTCCTGCATGGATTTCCTGTGGGTTCTCCAGTTCCGTCGCCATGTCCATTTTCCTTTTACATGAAATGCATACAAATCATGAAGCAAGTTAAAGGTTATGAGAATAATTGCCCAAACAAATCAGCAGTAACTGATGTTATCCAAACATCCCAAAGCAGAAAAATGACCTGTAAATTACCATAGTAATGGGATTACAACACACAGTGGCAACACCGACCACAAAATATTTTTCAGGACCACTCCTGCGTAAACAATCATAATAATAGTAATGATTAAAAAAAACTAAGCTTGAAAGCGTCATCAATTGTTTATTTGTTACGTGGAAAGTCCCATTTAGCCAGTGGTGCATTAGCACAGAGCAAGATCAAAGTGTTTCGCACAGAGAAACTGGCAACACAGGAAGCGCAGCTGAAAAATAGCACTTTAACGAACAATTTCGATTTAAAGCTTTCGTGACTGCAGGGATTCATCTTCTTGGTTCTTTCGGTGAAGTCACGTAGAAAGGAAAAAATAAAGTAATAAAATAAATAAAATTAAACATTATTAAATAATTCTCACGACGCCACAACGCAAGCAGCCGTCTTCAGGTGAAGAACAGGTCTGTCGGAAAGACAGCGTCATTCAGACGCGTCATTCAGATGCTGTCTTTCCGACAGACCTGTTCTTCACCTGAGGACGGCTGCTTGCGTTGTGGCCGAAACGTCGTGAGAATTATTTTATAATGTTTTATTTTTATTATTTTATTATTTCCCTTCTACGTGACTTTACCGAAAGGACCAAGAAGACGTCAACAATATAAAAAAACGGGAGTTATAAGATGCCATCGCTGCGTGGCCGTCGCACGGCGGGGCGGGTGGGAGGATACAGGCCAGGTAGTGACGCAGGAACTCGTGCTCACTCACGGGGAGCACCTGCATGAAGCTCTCGCGGTACGCTTCGTACCAGGGCGTCGTCGCTGTGAACACACGATCACAAACGCACATAACGACAACAGCCATTCGCCACGGCGCTTGTGCCAGGCTATGTGCACGTTAGGGCCACGTGAAGTGTCGAACGCCCGCTGGCAGGAGGTCACGGGACAGACTCAGGTGACTTGGGTTGACTGAGATGACTGGCCGATGCACCACCTGTGCACCCTACTGTGCCAAACGCACACACACGCACGTGCACGCAGGGACCACGTGGTCAAACGTCAACGTCGTAAATCAGCAGCGTTTGATCATCAAGAGAAGCATCATCATCATGCATGCTTTTTGATATCGTCAAACACACACGACAACCGCCATTCGCCACTAAGCTTGTGCCAGGCTATGTGCAAGTTAGGGCCACGTGAAGTGTCGAACGCCCGCTGGCAGGAGGTCACGGGACAGACTCAGGTGCCTTGGGTTGACTGAGATGACTGGCCGATGCACCACCTGTGCACCCTACTGTGCCAAACGCGCACACGCGCACGTGAACGCAGGGACCACGCGGGCAAACGTCATCGTTGTAAATGAGCAGCGTTTGATCATCAAGAGAAGCATCATCATCATGCATGCTTTTTGATATCGTCAAGAAGCATAAACCATCACGTGAACTCCGGTCATCCATCCAGCAGCGGCTTTTGGGGAGCCATCGAACAAAGACGGTCACCGCATGGCACGCTTTAAGATGCGTGGCCGTCTGCAATGCTCTTCCGACCGATATTAGGAAGCTACTGGAGCTACTGTATTGCACTTTTAAATCTAGATTTGAAACTCATTTCTTTCTAAATGATTTTTGTTTTTAGGTTGTTGTCCTTCCCCCAACACCTCCAATTAGCAGGGTTGGCTACGTTGGTGCAAAATAAGTTCAACATACATACGTACCTACATGACGATCTCACTCAAAAGAAAACAATTATGAATCGGAGATACCGTCATGAATATCAAGGCGCAGTTGCAAAAACACGGACATCAGTCGGGATACAAGGCTCCCGGCCGACTGATTGGCACACAATCATCCGGGTGAAAGGTGGAAGTAATTAAAACATGAAAACTACTTGGCGGGCAAAGGGTAGGCAGGCAGCTAAGCAAGTTGATAAACAGGAAGCAATAAACCTCGCCACTTTACTTCACTGCCACTACCCCCCTCGACGAGATACAAATAAATAGTACTTCATGAAAATTCGTCATAAATCTTTGGCCACGAGCGGGAATCACACTCGGGTCGGCAGGATTGTAACGCATCAAGCAAAACCAGCTGCGCCACCGCTCAAACAACAACCGTCATTCAACAATAAGTGGCAGTGACGTTACCACGGTGCTTGTGTCAGGCTACATGCACTTTAAGGCTACATAAAGTGTCGAACGCCCGCTGGTAGGTCACGTGACAGACCCAGGTGCCATGAGTTGACGGAATGAGATGACTGGCACCGCACCCCACACACACAGACAAGACAAAAATCCTCTGTATTGCCTATACCAGACTGTTGGGACAAGTGTTGTTAGCGAGCACCTATGAAGGCCGGCACAGCACACGAGGGGGTGGGTGGCCAGCACCACGCCTCCCCAGCGGCGATGTTTACACATCGCACCAGGTACTCATTTGAGGCCGAGTCGACCAAGGGAAGGCCCAGGACTGGTTCAGATAATCGTCACCGGTGTTGGCCGTGAGCAGGAATCGAACTCGGGTCGCCGGGTTCGCGCTAACCGCCACACCACCGCTCCCCACACACACAAACACACGAGCACGCGTCTCACCGCTGATGTTGAGGTCATAGTCCCCGGCAGACAGCAGGTTGCCCACGGGTCCGTCGGCGGCGTGGCTCGCCGACACCACGTCGCTCAGCATCTTCCGTGCCGCCGTCGGCGCCGGGGCCCGCGTCTCCAGCCGCGACACGGACACACGCAGGCCGCGCATCGCGTGCAGCTGGTTGTTGGGGTCGCGCAGGTGAACTGCGACACACGGGCACGTGCATATATATGTATATACGCGTGAACGAACGAAGAACAACAACAACGGCCACTACTGGCCACTAAGTGGCGGTGACGTCACCACGGCGTGCCAGGCTACGTGCACCTTGAGGCAAACGTGAAGCGTCGAAGGCTCCCTGGCAGTAGGCAATGGAACAGAGCCCCAGGTACCATGGGTTGACTGACTGAGATGACTGGCAGATGCGCCAACTGTGCTCTCCATTCTGCCAACTTGCTGTATTTTAGCCACCCGGTGCTCTGCTCGTTGTTGTGAGCATCGCTCCTCCACCCTCCATTGTTGTTGGAGGGCTAGTGCCCGCAACTACCCAGTAGCGTCTTTCATGAGCCTCCTCCACAGACCTCGATCTTGACACAGCTGGGACCAGTCATTAGGAAGTCCAATCAGCTCCACATCCATTTGTACCGCATCAGCCTATCTCCTGCCCATTTAGCCCCCTTAATCTGGCCGGGCAAAGGCTGGATGGACATGCGGGATACGTGACGCAGCCAATAAAGTGTCGTCTGCTGTATGAGCTCGCTGATGGGACTATGTCCAGCTCTTTCAAGGATCTGTGAGCTCCTCAAACAATCCAGTCTGGTTAAATCCAGGATGGCTTGTAGACAGTCCAGCATGAATATTTCAAACAGGCGCAGATGTTACTTTAAAACAGTCTGTGTTTTGCCCGTGTTAACTGTGGCAGAAAAGACTTGAAGCTGCATAAGAAGAAACAGGCCAGGCAGCTTCCACAGATTGTTATGCAGCTGTTGAAAATATAGTGCCGCTAGACTGATTTGGAGTGAGACCTCCACTGCCAAACCGGAGCTGGCCTTAAGCACACGATCCTTGTATGGAAACTTCTCAATTTTCTCAAAAACTGCCCCATCACTCATGCAAAGTTGAGAGGGTGGAGTATTTGATGGCATACAATACTAACGCAGGTGCCTTGTTTTTATGGGGCTCATGATAAGGCCCCATCTCTGAGTGGCACGCTCCAGGTTCAGCAGCAGCGCCTCCAACTCTTCCCCGAGTGAGCAGCATTTACCAGATCACCCGCATATATAAATAACATGGATTACCAATAGGGAACCATCCCTTGACGATACCTGGTTATCGATCAGCCTCCCATTGTACCACTGCCAGGTGGAAATTCCACACACACACACGTAGAATTTCACATTGTTTTGAGCAGCAGAAGGCATTGTAGAAATATCCATTGATGTGTCAGAAGGTACTTCCATGTTCCCAACATTTACCAATCTGCACCTAACAGCGGTAAAGTATGGCCAAATAATCCTCCGACCCACACGGCATTGGGATGCCCTCATCTGGCAGTAGACTGACAAATGGGCAGCTCACGTAGTGCACTTGTCTTGCGTAAACCCTGCAGCCACTGAAGCTGCTAAATCCTCCGCAATGCTAAATGCATACAATCGATACATCGAAAAATCCATTCCCACCACTGACCCTCACTGATCCTTCCCGCTCAGCAGCGCTCGAATAACTATTTTACAGCACGGGCACTAATCAATGAGAAGCCCCACTCTGCAGCTGCGGAAAGATTTTTCTCCACCGTCCTTTATAGCGTCGAGCACTAAGTGAGCAACCAAGTGGTGGCCCGCACGCGTCACCGAGTGCCGTCAAGTGGCTGCAGAGCCAAGGATTGGGGTCGACTTGCTTCCTTGTCCCGGATTACAGCCACGTCTAATTTTAATTAATTAATTAATCCCCCCCACATACACCCCACCCCCCTCTCCAGGTTCAATCCTGACTGCGCTATCGACGGGTCAGGACACGAAGAATCCATTTGGAACTCTCACAGAGCAGTGCAACCTCCCGCCGCCTCCCCCACCCCCCGGCCCAACTGCATGTTGGAGAGCGGCCCACAGAGGTGGACATCACGGAACTACCTCTCAATTTCCTTTCAAGTGACCTCTGGTCCACACACCCCCCCCACTCGCTCTGCCACCGAAAACGATGCTTGTCGCACGTCGGTCAAAACCAATATTTTTTTTTATTCTCCTTCGGGAATTTCATAAAATGAAGTGCGGAAGCAAATTTAATTCGAAAGGGTTTTTTTTTTTCTTCCCCCCGTGCAGTCATTCATGGCTGGGCGCCGAGACCATTAACTCACTACACTTGACAGTACAGTTTCATCACAGGCACTTCCCAGGAATCAAAGCTAGACGCTCAGCCTGACCTTCTGAGCCACCAGGCCACCAGAAGCAATGTCCAGTTTTAAAGCAACTGCTTCTGCCACCAATCGCGACTCCCTTTGGACCGACTAAAACAACAAACCAAGCACTATTACACTTCTTCTTGGTTCTTTCGGTAAAGTCACGTAGAAGGGAAATAATAAAATAATAAAAATAAAACATAATAAAATAATTCTCACGACGTTTCGCTGTCTTTCCGACAGACCTGTTCTTCACCTGAGGACGGCTGCTTGCGTTGTAGCCGAAAAGTCGTGATAATTATTTTATTATGTTTAATTTTAGTATTTTATTATTTCCCTTCTACGTGATTTTACCGAAAGAACCAAGAAGATGAATCCCTGCAGTCACGAAAGCTTTAAATCGACTATTAAACTTGGTGTGAGGACGTCATCTGCAGCAATGAAGAGCAACACGCAACTGTTAAGCCATTCGAAGAAAAAAATAAAGTGCTTATATTGCCAATTTCCAAATTAGCACTCCCGTAGTGACGACGGTTTGTTAAAAGCGCACGTTGTGCTGAATGCAACGCGGTGCGTTAACAGCTGCAACGCAAACGCAGACGCGTGCGGCAGAGATGCAATATTTCCTACTAAAAAGTGCAGAGGGCAAAGTGCTGTTAGCGAGCATCAACTGGCGCATGAGGGGGTGGTGTGGCCGGAAACCAACGCCCGGCCGCCTTTGTCTCCCCAGTGACGATGTTTACACATCGTACCACGTAGTCACTTGCGGCCGAGCCGATAATGCACACATACGCTTGTACACGCGCGCGCGCGCACACGCACACACGTACGCGCTTGCGTTCATAAGACAAGCGACCCTAACCCTCACCCTCGGACGTGAGGCGGCAGAACGGTCTGAGCAGCTCCGGGAAGCTCAGGTTGTTCTTGCGCGTCACGGCCTCGGCATCTGGGCTGCACAGCGTCGCGACGCGCGGCACGAACACATCCTGCAGGAACTCGGAGGCTCCCTGAGCGCACTGCGCCATGGTGCCTCGCTCTCCTGCTCCTCCCGATTGCTCCTCCCTGATCGCTCCTCTTCCTCGTCTTCCTTGGCCTTGTTAGAGATGTCTCTTCGATACGGTTTTCCAAGAGCTTGTCTTTGGGGTGCTGGCGACCAAACGTTTGGGCTGAAATTACAGCAAAAAAATACAAACCATTTGTTAGCTTCTCACAAAGTGATGGTACTAAATTTATCCACCCTGGATAGATGATTATGCCGATTGGCAGTGGTGTAGTGGTGCAATTATAAGCGCACTGCACCAAGAGCCCAGTAGCGTTTGTTTAACATCAGTGGCAAGTGTTATATTTTTTATTTATTATAATCAGTCCATATGGATTGTGTATGATCTTCTGGGTCTCTCCTTTTAAGAAGTGTTGTGTGTGGGGGAAAACAAACAAAATATCTGAAGAAAACAAAGAGCCTCACGAACTTGTACTGCCATCTCCTGGCCGCTTCATATCGCATTGCTATGAAATGTTAAGCGATAAGAAAACAATACATTGCATGAGAGCGGTTTTGTTTTGTTTAACGTACTGCGATACAAACCCAGCAACCCGAGTTCGATTTCCGCTCACGACCAATAATAGTGGCGAATATTTGAACCGGTCCTGGACCTCCCCTAGGTCGACTCAGCCTTGAGTACTAGGTGCGGTGTGTAAACAATCAGCGCCTGGGATATGAAGGCACTTCGCGTGGTATTGGCCACCTCGACCCCTTGTGTGCCATGCCAGCCTTCATGGGTGCCCCAGCAGTCTGTTAAAGCCTGTATGGCAGAATCTTTAGTCTTTTTAAATTCTTTATATTAAGTTCACTTGCTTGCTTGCTTGCGCGCTTACGACCGTGCAAATCGTTCGGTCGTTTTTTAACCCACTTCCCGTGATCCAATCGAGCTGACATTTTGCACACAGACTCGTTGTGCGTGACAATTTATTTTCGTGAAATTTTTTTCCCAAAATTTTACACTTTTTAGGAAAAATTAATTATATTTAATTACCAATTGCTTAATGGTGGCAGGCAATCATCTGACCCATAGGTGGCAGCCATCTCAAGCCAGAGGACGAGAGGACTCTAGCCGCCACGCATATAAAGGATTTATAGTGAAAAACTTTGTTTTTACGGGTACATTTTTACGTGATGACGACGCTTAGTGGCAAATGGCAGCTGTTGTTGTTGTTGCTACATGTGCGTTGACTTGGTATGATGATGACATTGTAGGAAGCCAGCAAGAGGAAGTCAAATGCGGGCTCAGCCATTCTCCATCATCCTAAAATTAGTACAACTTTGTGGCAAACCAAGCGTTTGTCATATGGATTCAATTGCCACTCCCTTACGTAAATAGACACGTGCAAAGCCTTTGTCAATTCACTGCTGGATGAGGGCTTCCCCCATGCCACGCTGCTCAAGGGGGTTATTTGATTAAACCCCACCGCACTTAAATTTTGACTTAAAGCTTTCGTGACTGCAGGAATTAATATTCTCGGGTCTCATCTTCTTGGTTCTTTCGGTAAAGTCACGTAGAAGGGAAGTAATAAAATAATAAAAATAAAACATAATAAAACAATTGTCACGACGTTTCGGCCACAACGCAAGCAGCCGTCCTCAGGTGAAAACCAGGTCTGTCGAGGCGACAGCGTCTGAGGTCGGCTGCTTGCGTTGTGGCCGAAACGTCGTGAGAATTGTTTTATTATGTTTTATTTTTATTATTTTATTACTTCCCTTCCACGTGACTTTACCGAAAGAACCAAGAAGATGCATCCCTGCAGTCACAAAAGCTTTAAATCGAAATTTCTCGCGTCTTTCGGCAAAGTCACGTAGATAGGTTCAAAGAAAAGGTGAGGAGCATAGTAGGCACGGGAGCATAGAAGCACAGTACAGTAATACGCTGATGGATTTAGCTTCACTGCCCTCTGCAGTCCACCACGTAGCCCTGCATCATACCCGTCAACCCATACGGTTTACCCAGATTCTTGTACAGGGAAATTGAGTTTTCAGGTTCATCCTGCGTACAGCTGTTTCAATACGTGTTTCTCCCTTGTGATGGGACTTTGTAGAATGAACGTTGAGATGTATAAGGGCACGGGGTGACCAATACGGTGCCAGGTATGCCTGATGCCATGAGTAACTTGTAAATTTACAAGTCATGGCTCTGAGATATGAAACAGGGGTGGGTAAAACAAGTACCGTGCTGTGCAAGACGTCAACAGCGGATGACCTCTGCCATCAAAATGTGGAATTTCCATCACCTCCTTTGGGCTGTTAAAAGCTTGAGTGGGGAATAAAGTCACTTTCTAATTTGACCATCAGGACTTTTCGAGGACCACGTTTAAATGGCCAAGAGACGCACTCGATCTCGACAGAACCTCTGAAGCCAAGCTGGTTTATCCTGCATAGTTGACACCAGGTCACACTTCAGGCCGCCGCTGGGCTAAACTGTGGGCAGCAGAGGGCAGTGCGTAGGCATAGCATTGTTATACTGCACTTCTATTGACCCACCCTCACCAACCGCACTGGCCAACGTGGTTAAAGCACGTGTTGTATTTTTAATGCCATTGTAATTAGACACCCGGAATGTGTTTACTACTATCCCACGTCAACACTGGCACCCATCATCCCTTTACAAAGTGTAGAACCATCGTGAAGATTGGTCAGTGCTGGCTTAAGGTGACACACCATACATGCGAGAGCACTCGAGGTTTTTAATCGACGACATACTTCACCACGCTATACCGTCACCACCACTATTACCAACAACAACAACAACCACTGCCATTCGCCACTAAGTAGCGGTGACGTCACCACGACGCTTGTGCCAGGCTAGGTGCACCTTGAGGCTACCACGTGAAGTGTCGAACGCCCGCTGACAGGAGGTCACGGGGCAGACCCAGCAGGTGCCACGGGTCAACTGAGATGACCGAGATGACTGGCTGATGCACCACAATCATCACACATCATCAACATCGCAAACACTTACACCGTGCCCATCATAACCTCAATGGCTATCGTCATCACGGCCACATGATGCCGGTTTCGCACATCCCGTGCCTGTCACTCTACTGGCTGGATGAGGGCCTCTCACGGCGGGGTTGTTTGCCAATACTTCAACCAGTGCCACCACAACTATGGTCGCCACATCACCACCACCACCACAATCAACACGCACAGTCGTCACTCACGACCAACACGACCAAGCCACCCCACTATCAACACCATTATCACCACATCACCATCATCACTACCACCACCACCACAGGCCCTCTACCTCAGCCCCGTCGGCTCCACTGCTTGACGACCACGGACGCGGACAGAGTTCGCCTACCGAGTGAAAGCTGCCTCAAGGAGCTTCTCTTCCCCTCGCAAGCCGACGCCGAAGCCGCCGAAGCCGCCGCCGCCGCTGCTGCTGCTGCCTGGCGCGTCGCTACCGCTTCCTCTGCGTCTCGCAGTGCAACGCGGCCGCCATCACCCCCATGGCCCCGCCCCTCAGCCCACTGTGGCAAAGCCCCGCCCCTCATTGAAGCCCCGCCCCTCATTGAAGCCCCGCCCCTCATTGAAGCCCCGCCCCTCATTGAAGCCCCGCCCCCCTTGATCTTGTTGCCCCTCCCCCCAGATCTCGTTGCCCCTCCCCCCAGATCTCGTTGCCCCTCCCCCCCAGATCTCGTTGCCCCTCCCCCCAGATCACGTTGCCCCTCCTCCCAGATCTCGTTGCCCCTCCCCCCAGATCTCGTTGCCCCTCCCCCCAGATCTCGTTGCCCCTCCCTCCCCCAGATCTCGTTGCCCCTCCCCCAGATCTCGTTGCCCCTCCCCCAGATCTCGTTGCCCCTCCCCCCAGATCTCGTTGCCCCTCCCCCAGATCTTGTTGCCCCTCCCCCCAGATCTCGTTGCCCCTCCCCCAGATCTCGTTGCCCCTCCCCCCAGATCTCGTTGCCCCTCCCCCCAGATCTCGTTGCCCCTCCCCCAGATCTCGTTGCCCCTCCCCCCAGATCTCGTTGCCCCTCCCCCCAGATCTCGTTGCCCCCCCCTCCCCCCAGATCTCGTTGCCCCTCCCCCCAGATCTCGTTGCCCCTCCCCCCAGATCTCGTTGCCCCTCCCCCCAGATCTCGTTGCCCCTCCCCCCAGATCTCGTTGCCCCCCCCTCCCCCCAGATCTCGTTGCCCCTCCCCCCAGATCTCGTTGCCCCTCCCTCCCCCCAGATCTCGTTGCCCCTCCCCCAGATCTCGTTGCCCCTCCCCCCAGATCTCGTTGCCCCTCCCTCCCGCCAGATCTCGTTGCCCCTCCCCCCAGATCTCGTTGCCCCTCCCCCCAGATCTCGTTGCCCCTCCCCCCAATCTCGTTGCCCCTCCCCCCAGATCTCGTTGCCCCTCCCCCCAGATCTCGTTGCCCCCCCCCTCCCCCCAGATCTCGTTGCCCCTCCCCCAGATCTCGTTGCCCCTCCCTCCCCCCAGATCTCGTTGCCCCTCCCCCAGATCTCGTTGCCCCTCCCCCCAGATCTCGTTGCCCCCTCCCCCCAGATCTCGTTGCCCCTCCCTCCCCCCAGATCTCGTTGCCCCTCCCCCAGATCTCGTTGCCCCTCCCCCCAGATCTCGTTGCCCCTCCCTCCCCCCAGATCTCGTTGCCCCTCCCCCCAGATCTCGTTGCCCCTCCCCCCAGATATCGTTGCCCCTCCCCCCAGATCTCGTTGCCCCTCCCCCCAATCTCGTTGCCCCTCCCCCCAGATCTCGTTGCCCCTCCCCCCAGATCTCGTTGCCCCCCCTCCCCCCAGATCTCGTTGCCCCTCCCCCCAGATCTCGTTGCCCCCCCCTCCCCCCAGATCTCGTTGCCCCTCCCCCCAGATCTCGTTGCCCCTCCCCCCCAGATCTCGTTGCCCCTCCCCCCAGATCTCGTTGCCCCTCCCCCCAGATCTCGTTGCCCCCCCCTCCCCCCAGATCTCGTTGCCCCTCCCCCCAGATCTTGTTGCCCCGCCTCGTGGCCCCCCCACCACCAACCTCCTGGCCCCGCCCTTCCCCATTTCGTAGCCTCTTCCATCCGGGCAATGCAACGAGGTGGATTAAGCCCCCCCACCCGACCTCCTCCTGACCACGCCCCGTGGTTATTAGGCCACGCCCCATCGCCATTGGGCTACGCCCCTTTAAGCCCCTGACCGCCCCCTCCGTTCCCAGCAAATATTGCAGCCTAACTCCCACAATGCAACACAAGAAGCCGGGGTCGTTCCTCTGCCACCCCCCCACATTCCTGACCACGCCTCCTTCATTAACATAACCACGCCTCCCTCATTAACATAACCACGCCTCCTTCATTAACATAACCACGCCTCCCTCATTAACATAACCACACCTCCCTCATTAACATAACCACGTCCCCTTCGTTAAAATAAACACGCCTCCTTCATTGACATAACCACGCCTCCATCATTAACATAACCACGCCTCCCTCATTAACATGACCACGCCTCCTTCATTAACATAACCACGCCTCCCTCCCCCGCTATGGCCACGCCTACTTCGCTTTCGTGAGCACGCCCATGATTAAACCCCACCGCACCGACCAATCCGCATCGTCTAAATCCTGTGCCCCACGTGACGCGCGAGAGGAAGCGGTCGAGTCGGTCACGTGATCACCACATTTGCCCGATCACGTGGCCGGCTATGCAGCAGTGGGATCGATGGTGGCTGGGTATGATGATGTGGTGAATCAATACAATAGAGCTGGTGATGATTCACCTGATGAGTTGATGAGTTAATGATGACGTCACCCTGCTGCTGCTCTATATAAGAACGGGAGACACAGCAGAGCCTCACCATTCTGGCGAATTGCCCGATGATGCTGGTTGCAATTACCAGCGAAACGTCGTACTCAAATTGTAAATGTTGTGGCTTCAACACACCGGTGGGCTAAAGCAGTGAACTATTTGTCTTTGTCAACGTGACACTTTTTTACTGATTGGCCGTGTCGGGTGGTGGAGGGTTACGACACATTTATAAATAAACGCGATCTAAACCCAAAAACGTTCATTATGGACACCCCTGATTCATTAAATGAGACTGATCCTCGTGATGGGCCGCAGTGCTATGGGTGTATGGAGGGAGGGAGCGGTGGCGCAGTGGTTAGCGCACTACACTCTGCGTGTGCGGGGCTAGTTGGCGTGGTTATGTAAAAGAAGGCGGGGCTGAGACGGGGAGGGAGGGGCATTACCGTGTGTCCTGGTTGAGCCTCCCAGAAATATTGGATGGCTCTACAAATATTAGCCACCACGGGCGTATAGACACGAATAAAACACCGATGCCTGTGCTCACGTAATCAATTGTTTACGATTTATTTTTATTTATTTTTATTCAAATCGAATGTTACCCTTCTTAGAACCAGCATTCAACCAGAGCGAAAAAACACATGTTAGAATATGAGACAGAAAAATAGAAAAAAAGTTTAGATTTTTGACTTAAAACCTCGATTCTTACACACACGATTCCAAGCATCTCTCGCGATCTTATCGCTATCAATCAATAAAATCAATCGATTGCATCAGGCCATTCTCAACAACACCCAGTGTTTCACGATACAATATCAATGTCCGTGATATGACTGTCATCGCGATATCAGACTCCCGTAACTTTACAATTGCATTTAGAATTTCAGTAAATAATTTTTTTTTTCTTTGCTGTCCAGTACTTGAGGGAGAATACTATCCACTGCGATGAGTTTTCAAACCATTCTAACTTCATAACAAATTCCGTTCATGACATTCAGATATGCATTTATTCAATTTACTTATCAGCGATTGCCATTTCTTTAATATTTTGTCTGATATAAAAATTTTAACGTTCAAAGAAATCAAATTAGTTTTATAAAACGGGCGAAAAGGTTACCGTGGGCCTTTTATTGTGCTATACTAAACTATTTATATTTTATTTTACCAGGTGAGGCCCACTGAACTATATAGCTAATTGTCAGAAGCAACCTGGTCAAGCTGATAGCTCAACGAAGTGGCTTCTCATCACGTGGAAGTTTATAGCAGCCAAATACTCTAAATGCGTGATGCTGGTAGGAACCCCCTGGTTACACCAGCCCACAGGGGATTATTGTGTCCGTCCGTCGTGCATCCAAAAAGGGGAGGGGTGGGGCTGGGTGGAGAGGGGCTGGGTGGGGAGAGGCTGGTTGGGGAGGGTGGGGGTGGGAGGGGTGGGGCTGGGTGGGGGGTGGGAGGGGTGGGGCTGGGTGGGGAGGGGCTGGTCACCCCGTGGTGCCCTTATAAAACTCAAAGTTTAATCTACTCACGCCGGCTTGTGCCTGACCTCACAGTCAGGCATATTTGCGGAATACACCACGCCGCCGTTGACCCTGGCCATTGACCGAGCAACCCAACGTTCCTACCAGCTCCCTCCGCAGGAATGTGTTGTTAAATCGAAATGTGGAGGGGAAAATCGGGCTCTGGAGACCACCTGGAGAAGATTTCAGGCGTGTGTTGACAATGATGGCGAACAAGTGGAGACTCGTCTTCTTGGTTCTTTCGGTAAAGTCACGTAGAAGGGAAATAATAAAATAATGAAAAGAAAACATAATAACAGCGTCATTCAGACGCTGTCTCCCCGACAGACCTGGTCTTCACCTGAGAACGGCTGCTTGCGTTGTGGCCGAAACGTCGTGAGAATTATTTTATTGTTTTATTTTTATTATTTCCCTTCTACGTGACTTTACCGAAAGAACCAAAAAGATGAATCCCTGCAGTCACGAAAACTTTAAATCGAAAGTTAATTATTTTATTATTTTTATTATTTTATTATTTCCCTTCTACGTGACTTTACCGAAAGAACCAAGAAGATGAATCCCTGCAGTCACGAAAGCTTTAAATCGAAATTTAAGTGGAGACTCTTTTACTTTTGAAGCTATTAACATACATTTGTTATCATGTGACAGTGTCGGAATCCATACTCTTGAGTTCTTTCGGTAAAGTCACGTAGGTAGAAAAATAATAGATCACGACGTTTCGATCGCAACACAAGCAATCGGCATCAGGTGGGACAACCACAGCAGTGTTTTCTCGCCGCGGTTGTCCCACCTGATGACGGTTGCTTGTGTTGCGATCGAAACGTCGTGATCTATTATTTTTCTAACTACGTGACTTTCCCGAAATAACCAAAGAATATGTTACAGTGTATTATCCGTTCTTTTCTTCCATTAAAAACGACAGTCCCATGTAAGTGCTAACATTGTTTTGAAGCACCCTGTATGCAGGCGTCAGGGTCGGGATCGAACCCACGACCTCCTGTATACCAGGCAAGGTAGTTAACATCTCCTAGCCACCGTGGCGTCCTACTAGGTTGTGGAATCGCAGAAACACTCATGGTCGCCCATCCAGGTGCTATCCAGGTTCAACCTGCTTACGCTTCCAAAATGTCTCGATCAGGTGCATATATTATTTTTATTATTCTATTTTGTGTTTATATAAGCCGGCGGCGGTCAGTGAAGGAGGTGACGGAATGAATGTAGGGACAGGGGCTGGGAATGGAGCTGGTGTTGCTGGGGTAGGTAAGGCAAAAAAAGGTGGAATGTGATGTTTTTTGGCCAATACCAGTTACATTTTGCCGGGTTTTTGTTGTTGTTGTTTTACGAGGTGAGGAAACAGGTAGTACCCGGAGGAAATCCATGCAGGACAGGGGAAGAGCGAAGACATTTTTAGACAAAACATCATTTCCAGGAATGTTCCGTCTCCATTTCGGGAGTAAACAACAATCCCCCCCAAAAAATCATCCCACTGCGGTCAATTCAACGAATTTTGTCAAAACAACACTCTGTGGATCCACCGCTACACTCAAGGCACGCAACAACGAACAACGTCCACGGATGACGTCTCAATGGAGTTAACGTTGCCAGCACTTTCCAAGCAGGCTGCGTTGAGCTTCATAATAGAAACTGTGCACGGTTCCTTGGGTGTCCGGCTGGAAAAAAACTTGATAACCCACGAATATATATTAGCGATAAAACCTTTAACACCTGGCACCACCACCAGCACGTAAAGGGGATTCGAGTTGAAGATTTAATGCACGGGGAGAGAGAGTGAGAGAGAGAGGAGCGGGAGAGGAGAACTCCGCGGTCCGGACAGGTGGACCAGTCGGTCCAGACGGGAGGACCAGTCGGTCCAGACGGGAGGGCACGGGGTTCCGCACGGGAGGACACGGCGGTTTTTATGGGAGTGCTTGGCGGTCCGGACACCAGCGGGCCCATCCATTCCGCACGGAACTTTCACCTCCTGCTGCCGCGGAACGGCTGCTGCTGCTGCCCCCCGTGCCCGGTGGAGCCAATGGGCACGAAGGCGTGCTGGCGCCCATCGCCGGCGCCGAGGCAGACTTCGCGGTAATGCACGTAGCAATCCTGGCACGTCACCTTCTGGCACGAGCGGCAGTTGAGGGCGCCGTTCGCGTCTCCGCAGAAGCCGCAGTGGATCGTCGCGAGTGACGGTTTCGCCGGCACCGCCGCCGTCACCCCCTGTTGCTGCTGCTGCTGCTGCTGGTGCAGCTGCTGGCTCTTGATGCTGGACTCGGAGCGCCGCAGTTTTGGCGAAGCGCCGTCGTCTGCTCCCTTGCACGCGTGCAGCTGCATGCACGACTCGCACAATGGGTTCCGGCAGTAGTGGCACTTCTCCACCGCGGCAACGCGGCACCGGTAGCAAACGTCGAACGTCGCGGCGCCAATGTCACCGCAGCTCTTGCCGACGCTGCCGGAGCTGCCGGCGCCGGAGTCCGACGAGACGACGGGGTTCGTGGCGCGGCGTTGGTTGCCGCGCATGGACGCGCTCTGCTGCTGGTGGTGGTGAGAGGGGGGTACTGGTTGGCGCGCCACCATCTCGGCCCCTGTCCCCGAAACGTTGGCGCCGGCCTGGAATCGGCCGCGAAAGTCCGCGCGGTCGCTCGGCGAGCTGCTCATGCGCATGAGCGACGGCGTCGGCCGGAGAATGGTTTCGTCACGGTCGGCCGCGCCACCACCACCGCCGTCACCACCGACGTCGTCTTCGTTGTCCTGCGCCAACGCGGCCGCGATGGCGGCGTCGTTTCGCTCCCGCGAAGCGCGATCGGCGCTGCTTAGCACCGCCGGCAGGATCTCCGGCGCTTCCACGGCCTGCCCCGAAAACGACGCCCCGTGGAAACTCGGTACCCCGCCGCAGCCGCCAACACCGTCGTCGTAACCGTCATCGGCGGCGGCGGTGGCGCCGGTCGCGGCGGCGGCCGCTTTGCCGGCGTCGCCGTTCGCCATCTCGGCGGTCGCCGCCGCCCGCGCCAGCGCGGCGACCTGCGCCTCCAGGCCGCCGCGCGTGCCCCGCCGGCGCTCGCGCACCACGTGGCCTAGCGGGAGGCGGAGGGCGCCGGCGCGAGTCGCCATCTCCTCCATGAGCCGGCACTCGGCGGCGGCGAGGAAGAGGTCGAAGGCGACAGCCAGGGCGACGTCGGGCTGGGAGCGGCCGCGACGCTCGTAGGCGACGGCGGCGCCGTCGGCGCCGTCGGCGCCGTCGCTCTCCGGCGGGCAGCGGTTGAAGCCAAGCAGGTGGAGGATGCGTTCGGTGTCGTCTTTGCGCAGGACGCCGCGAACCCAGTAGACGAAGGGCCCAGAGAAGGCCTGCGCACGGACAGGTGGACAGCGACGGAGCCGTTAGTTTAGCCGGGGCTCAGGCGCCCACCGCTGCTGCGGAGTGCTCAGCGTGAACGGTGTTGTGCGTGCAGTTTGTACATTTACAGGGACTCGTCTAAGTACGAACATTCGACGTAGGAACTTTCATAGATACGAACAAACCTGTGCGTTTGTCCAATCGCCGATTCGGACCGAGAGTCATAAGTGCATAGATGGCGGTGGTGGCATCTACATGTTTAGACCATGAAAAACCAGTGGCATCTACATCTACGGGAGATTATATAACTTTTAAAGCCATTCCCCGTATTTAGTGTACACGCCGTACAACTTGTTTTGAACCTAACGCGTTCATAAGTAGAGTCTCTGTATTTGTTCGTGGTACATGTGGTCCATAAACTCCTTTCTGTCACCACGCATTAAAGTTAAAGCATTAAATGACTATGACTGGTGGTCTCCGAACCCAAGTTTAGGCAGCGTTTTGTACGCGAGTACACGCCACTGAATCACAATCAGAATATGTATTGATGCTGCAGGAATCCGGCGGGTTCAGAACTTTACAGCAACAAACAGCACAAAATCACGATAGGCGTGCAAAGTATAGGAAAGGTAAGCAAATGACTTTGAAAATAAATAAGTAAAACTACCTTATTTTTTTCCCGGGCAAAGCCCATTGGCCACAAATGACAGCTCAACGAAGCGGCTCATCACGTGGCAAGTTATCGCAGAAAAATTATCGAAATAATCTAAACTGGACTGGGGTCCCCCAACAAAAAAACAAAGGCAAAGATCCCCATGTAGCCTCAGCAGACTGTTGGGGCAAGTGCTGTTAGCGAGCACCCATGAAGGCCGGCGCGGCACACGAGGGGGTGGGTGGCCAACACCACGCCCGGCCGCCTTTGTCACCCCATTAGCGATACTCATTTGAGGCTGAGTCGACCGCGGGGAGGCTTAGGACCAGTTCAGACAATCGTCACAATGTGTTGGCCGCGAGCGGGAATCGAACCCGGGTCTCTTCCGGGTTCGTAGCGCAGCGCAGCGCTAACCGCTACCGCTCCCAGCGCAGCCCCGAATGAAGTCGCGGGCTGGGGATGACATCAGTGAGACACCGCAGTTCCCCGAGAGAGGACCACACGTGGCATCTGGATATATTGTGGATGTAAAATGATACAGGGTTCCCTCGGTTTTTTTTTCGCGAGGGATACGCTGCGGAGATGCTCGTGAATATAAAATTCGACCTCAGATAAACGCATAAGCTATTAAGTACGTGTATAGGAATGGATGGTAATAACTCTAAAGCCATTGATTAAAATATATAGTGAAGACGAATAAATATTAAAGTATTAAATGTCATTACTTTATCCCATCACATTCTCTCTCATCACTTTATTTCATCACTTTATTTCTCTCTCTCTCTCTCGATGCGGATAGCCAAAAATCGCGGATAGCCAAGTTCATGAATAACGAAGGGAACACTGGGCATGCGCGTAAAACGATTTATGGGGTTCACCGATTGGACGACTGATAATACTAACCATGAAGCACCGGGGTAACATCGACTGGAGTTGTGTGGTTCGCGGGATCGGGTTGATTTATGGTCGAGTGTTGCTGTCAGTGTTTCCCGTGATGCCGTTCTGATCTCTTTCTGACTGTCTCTGCCCTGATCTCTATCTGACTGTCTCTGCTCCGATCTCTATCTGGTTGCCTCTGCCCTGATCTCTGTCTGGCTGTCACTGTTCTGATCTCTATCTGGCTGTCTCTGTTCTGATCTCTATCTGGTTGTATCTGCCCTGATCTCTGTCTGGCTGTCACTGTTCTGATCTCTATCTGGTTGTCACTGCCCTGATCTCTATCTGGTTGTCTCTGCCCTGATCTCTATCTGGCTGTCTCTGTTCTGATCTCTGTCTGGCTGTCACTGTTCTGATCTCTATCTGGTTGTCTCTGCCCTGATCTCTATCTGGTTGTCTCTGTTCTGATCTCTGTCTGGCTGTCTCTGCTCTGATCTCTATCTGGTTGCCTCTGCCCTGATCTCTGTCTGGCTGTCACTGTTCTGATCTCTATCTGGCTGTCTCTGTTCTGATCTCTATCTGGTTGTCTCTGCCCTGATCTCTATCTGGTTGTATCTGCCCTGATCTCTGTCTGGCTGTCACTGTTCTGATCTCTATCTGGTTGTCACTGCCCTGATCTCTATCTGGTTGTCACTGCCCTGATCTCTATCTGGTTGTCTCTGTTCTGATCTCTATCTGGTTGTATCTGCCCTGATCTCTGTCTGGCTGTCACTGTTCTGATCTCTATCTGGTTGTCACTGCCCTGATCTCTATCTGGTTGTCTCTGCTCTGATCTCTATCTCGTTGCCTCTGCCCTGATCTCTGTCTGGCTGTCACTGTTCTGATCTCTATCTGGCTGTCTCTGCTCTGATCTCTATCTGGTTGCCTCTGCTCTGATCTCTTTCTGACTGTCTCTGCCCTGATCTCTATCTGGTTGTCACTGCCCTGATCTCTATCTGGTTGTCTCTGCTCTGATCTCTATCTGGTTGCCTCTGCCCTGATCTCTGTCTGGCTGTCACTGTTCTGATCTCTATCTGGCTGTCTCTGTTCTGATCTCTATCTGGTTGTCTCTGCCCTGATCTCTGTCTGGCTGTCACTGTTCTGATCTCTATCTGGTTGTCACTGCCCTGATCTCTATCTGGTTGCCTCTGCCCTGATCTCTGTCTGGCTGTCACTGTTCTGATCTCTATCTGGCTGTCTCTGTTCTGATCTCTATCTGGTTGTCTCTGCTCTGATCTCTATCTGGCTGTATCTGCCCTGATCTCTGTCTGGCTGTCACTGTTCTGATCTCTATCTGTCTGTCTCTGATCTGATCTCTATCTGGTTGTCTCTGCTCTGATCTCTATCTGGCTGTATCTGCCCTGATCTCTATCTGTCTGTCTCTGTCTCTGATCTCTATCTGTCTGTCTCTGATCTCTGGCTGTCTGTCTCTGTCTCTAATCTCTATCTGTATGTCTCTGCTCTGATCTCTATCTGTCTGTCTCTGCTCTGATCTCTGTCTGGCTGTCTCTGCTCTGATCTCTATCTGTCTGTTTCTGCTCTGATGTCTATCTGTCTGTCTCTGCTCCGATTTCTACAATGTTGTACTTCGTCACTCATGCAAATCGTGGCATCTCGAGTTCTCACTTGGTTACAATAAAATCGACTTGAGACTCGGCACAAACGCTGGAATGTCATTGCTGCTGCTGCTGTTTTGGTAAAAACCCCGTCGCCGTGACACCAGTTCAGGTTTTAGATTCCATTTTCCTTCCACTTTCACTTAAAAGCACACGACGGTGCCTTTAAAAGATGCCCATTTCCCTTGTACAGCCCAGAACCAGCAGTGGAAATCGTTCCCCTCCAGTCTACGGCAAGATGTAAACCAAATCGCTTGGTATACAGAACGTTGTGGATACGATTCAGACCCTGACACCTGCTGTATATTTGAAGTTTGCGTGTCTCTCTCCCCGTGGTGGCATGGCTTTTTCTGCGGGTCCTCCGGTTTTTTCCTCCACATTTAGAATCAACATCACGCGTTTAGAGTATTTGGCTGCTGTACATTACCACGTGGTGATGATAATCCCACTTCGTTGAGCTATCATTTGTGGCCAGGTCACTTCTGAAAAAGAGCTACATAGCTCGGTTGGACTTGCCTGGCCAAGTAAAAAATAGTTTACGTTGAACTTCTGTTGCACCGTGCGCAGGGGACGAGTTAGTTTACCCATCGGACAACCCCCGCCAGTCACGTGACTTCTCCCCAATAAGCGGTTCTCATTTCATCGACCACGGAGCGACGACGTCGACGTCGACGACGATGGGCCGAGTCGATCCCCACCACCGCCACCCTCCCCGGCGCAACGAGAAGTCGAACTCGCCGAGACAGCCAGCGAGCGGACGGGAGGCGGGTGCCGTGGCTGTCGCCTGTTTGGTTTTTCGTCTCGTCCGCTACCGGGACGAGGTTCATCACGCCATGGGTAGGGGGGGGGGGCGGAAGGCCAAGGTGGAGGTAGGGGGGGGGCTGTGTCGTGTGTCGGGTGAGAAGGGGGGGGGGGAAACACGTCGAGAATTTGCGCGCATGTCGTTAAAATCGTCCCAGGGACCTGTCTATGTGTCTGTCTGTTAGTCTCTGTGTGTCTGCGTGTCTGCGTCTCCCCTTCACTGTGTCTCTGCGTGTCTGCATCTCTCAGTCTCTGCGTCTCTCTATCTATGCATCTCTGTGTCTCTGCATCTGTCCATCTGTTAGTCTCTGCGTGTCTGCGTCTCTCCGTCTCTGTGTCTCCCCTTCACTGTGTCTCTGCGTGTCTGCATCTCTCAGTCTCTGCGTCTCTCTATGCGTCTCTGTGTCTGTCCATCTGTCCATCCGTGCGTGTCTGTGTCACTGCGTCTCTCCGTCTCTGTGTCTCCCCTTCACTGTGTCTCTGCGTGGCTGCATCTCTCAGTCTCTGCGTCTCTCTATCTATGCGTCTCTGTGTCTGTCCATCTGTCCGTCCGTGCGTGTCTGCGTGTCTGCATCTCTCCGTCTCTCCGTCTCTGCGTCTCTCCATTTCTGTATCTCTGTGTCTCTCCGCGGCTCTACGACAAACCTGGCAAGTTTCGCAGCCGCGGCAAAGTGTCCTCTTGTTTAATTCACGTAAGCCGTCTATAAGCTGTCTCTCTCAAACGGTTCCCATCACCCCCCCCCGCCCCCCGGGCATCTGAAGGAAGCGTTAATGTTAATCTCCACTATTCCCCCGGTCCCCTGGCTCCTCGGAACGCTTACCCGCCAAAATGACGACGGTGTTTCCTCCTCCTCCTCCGCCGGGACGCCCGCCTGCCCGCATTCGCGCGCGTGCCCACCCGCGCGTGGCATTTGGACGATTTGAAGCTGCGTCTCGTTTGCCACAAGATCCCGACATTAATTCAATCTCGTAATTCCGGAGGGTGAAAACCTTATTAGATTTGCCGTCTTCCAGTCAAGTGCGTGCGTTTTTGTTGTCGACACCGCTGAATAATATTACTGTGTTTTTTTTTTATTTCCCCAAGCCGGTGTGTACACACACACACACACGCGCGTGCGTGCGCGAGTGCGTACGTGAGTAAGTGCACGTATGAGTGCGTGTGTGCACGCTTGTGTGTGAGTGCGCGTGTGAGTGTGTGTGTGGTGGGGAGCGATGGTGTAGCGGTTAGCGCGCTGCGCTATGAACCCGGCGACACGGGTTCAATTCCCGCTCACGGCCAACGCCAGTGACGATTATCTGAACCGGTCCCGGGCCTCTCCTAGGTCGACTCGGCCTCAAATGAGAACCTGGTGCGGTGGTTTAAACATCGCCACTAGGAAGACAAAGGCGGCCGGGTGTGGTGCTGACCACCCACCCACTCGTGTGTTGTGCCAGCCTTTATAGGTGCTCGCTAACAGCACTTGCCCCTACAATCTGTTCAGGCTATATGTGAGTGTGTGTGCGTGCATGCGTGCGTATGTGTGTGTTGGATGCAGTGGTTAGTGCATTGCATTACGCACCAGAAGACCTGGGTTCGATTCCCGCTCACGGCCAACATTGGTGACAAGTATGAACTGATGCTGGGCCTCCCCAAGGTCGACTCAGCCTTAAATGAGTACCTGGTGCAGTCTGGTAAACATCATCACTTGGGAGATAAAAGCGGCCGAGCGTGGGTCCGGCCACACCACCCCCTTGCGCACTCTCCTGGCCTTAATAGGTGCTCACAAATAGCATTTGCCACCACAGTTTATCTGGGCTACAGAGAAGTTCATTGCACAACAGTCAACGTGATTGTTTTAATTCTCAGAGCTGAAATTTCAGCCAATTAAAAAAGTAAGACGTGAAAATCCCATTTTAAACGAGATGTTTTCTTTTTTGTGCCATCATCTGTTCACTTGAGAACCCCAGGTTCAATCACAACTCAGTCTGTCCCAGTCTGTGGATCTCTATGCGAATCCGCGGGTCACTATTCGCGTCTTTCTGCATCCGTGCAAGTCTGCGGGTCTCTGTGTCAGCCGCTGGTGACTGGGCTGAGACAATCAGTCTACCACAACTCGATAACCCCGTTCAATGACGGGTGACTAAGACCCCGATTTGAACCCAGGCCCTGGACGTTTGCCGTCCCAGCATTTCTGACCTCCGAGGCATCCGGCCTCCACTGCTTAACGAACATTTTATAATTGGGCCAGAATATCGGTGGCGTATTACGTTAAAGGGTGCGCGTGGTTTTCCCCGCGCGTACCGGTGCCCCGTCAAGAGAGCCATGCGGTGGCGGTGGCTGCCTGTAACCCCGGCACCAGCGTGGAGACAGGCAGCGGGGGTTGGTGGATCAAGCGCGGACGTGCTGCGAAACTCGCTTCACATGGGGCGTCGCGGATGTATTCCGTACCCCTGGCTCCACTACGAGAGGGCGGTACGGGGAGATAAAGCGTTTCCCCCCTCGCGCAAGGCGTGGGTGGCTCCCGCTCGTATGACGAGCACCACTCATCGTTAATCAGCTGGAAACACCTTGAGATAGAACCCCAATTCAGTGGCGGGACCCTCCAGAAAAAAGGAAAGAGTGGCTCTCTCCTGCATTAACAAGCAAATTAAATGAAAATAGGAAAATACAATGACCCCCCTCTCCCCCATAAAGCCTTTAACAGACTGTTAGGGCAAGTGCTGTTAGCGAGTAACGCCTATGAATGAACGCACTGTGCTACACGAGGGGGTGGGTGGCTGGCACCATGTCCGGCTGCCTTTGTCTCCCCAGTGGCGATGGTTAAACCACCGCACCAGGTTCTCATTTGAGGCCGAGTCGACCTAGGGGAGGCCCAGGAACAGCGGGGCTTGCCGGGTTCGTAGCGGCGGTGCGTTAGCCGCTGCACCGCCGCTCCCCACACAAAGCCAAAGATCCCCCGTATGTAGCCTTTACAGACTGTTGGGGCAAGTGCTGTCCGCATGGACACAATGCCACGCACACACAGAGGAATATCGTGTGATGAGAAACCCACACTTAAAACGAAAACTATTTTTTTTATTTTACCAGGTAAGTCCCACTGAGCTATGTAGCTCTTTATCAGAAGCTACCCAGCCACACAAATGATAGCTCAACGAAGCAGCTTATCACGACGTGGAAACTTACAGCAAGCCAAACACTCTGAAATGCACGCCAACTGTAAATGTGGTGGGAAAAAACCAGAGGACCCGGAGAAGAATCCACGCGACCACGGGAAGGGAAAGAGAGAAAGAGAGAGCACGCAAACTCCACATACACAGCAGGCGTCAGGGGTCGGGTATAAAACCCACAACCTCCTGCTTACCAGGCGAGGTAGTTAACATCTCCTGACCACCGCGGCGCCCCTGATCAGGCCTCCGCGGCGCGGCAACCGAAACACCGGCAAGCACACTCCAAATACACGGCGGGGGGCCATCGTAAGCGCCGAGGGATCGGTGTCCCCCGCCCACCCCACCCCCACCCCCGACCCACCTTGATCTGCCGAAACTCCTTCTTCCAGGGGTAGAGGAACACGTGGAGGCTCACCGTCTCGAACCAGTCGAGGCAGCGGGCGATGGCGCCCAGCCCCGGGGGGCCTGGCCGTCGCTGCGAGCCCTCGACGACTCCGTAGACGTCCACGCGGCCGAACGTCGAGCCGGAGCCGGAGCCGCCGCCGGAGCCGCCGGCGGCGGCGTGCTCCCGCGAGGCCAGCAGGGACCGCGCGTCCCGCCGGAGGTCGGCGGCGTCGCCCGGGGGCCGTCGGCCGCGGCCGCCCGGCGCCGAGAGGCGCGCCTCGTGGAAGCGAGCGTAGCTCTGGAAGAGGAGGTCGCGCTGCACCGTCGCTGCGGAGACGGAGCCGGCGACGGCGACGGCGGGTACCGCCGCGCGGGGCCATGGCGCGGGTGGCGGCTGCGCGCGGTCGCAAGCGGGGAAGGGGGCGGGCGGTGGAGACGGAATGAGAATTCTAGATTTGAAGCTTTCGTGACTGCAAGCATTCATATTCTTAGGTTTTTTCGGTAAAGTCATGTAGGTAAAAAATTAAAATTAATAAAAGTCAAATAAAAATAAAATAAAATAAATAAAATCACGACGTTTCGGAGGCAACACAAGCTTCCGTCTTCAGGTGGAACCGTCACAGCACGATAGCTGTATCAAGTGATATCAAGTGATACAGCTATCGTGCTGTGACGGTTCCACCTGAAGACGGAAGCTTGTGTTGCCTCCGAAACGTCGTGATTTTATTTTAATTTTATTAATTTTTATTTTTTACCTACGTGACTTTACCGAAAAAACCTAAGAATACGGAATAATAATTTTTTTATTGACACCCGGAGGAATCCGATTGGACCCATGAATCTCTTTTTTTTTTACAGACGTACTTTTACACAGACGCACATTTTTACACAGACGCACCTTTGCCACAGGTGTACAGACGTCACTGTGCCGCGCGTGTGTGTGGGGGGAAGCGTCGTGAAGTGACGCCGCTTATTTATCTATAAAAAAAATATCACACCAAGTGTTAAACCTTTGTGTTGGTTTCCGCAGGGCTTTGTCTGTTACGCAATAGCTACTGATTATTATTCATATTGTCCTATTTATAAACTGCCATCAGGCACCATGGTGCAGGCAAGTGAGGTCTCCAGGCCTGATCATCAACACTCCCTCTATCCTGGCATCTCTAATTACGCGATATGAAGGAAGGCCTATTTTGTATGTTTCTTTTAAGGCCGCAGTGTTGTTGATGAACGTGTTTAAATACGTATTGTATACTCTTTGGTTCGTTCGCTAAAGTCACGTAGGTAGAAAAATAAAACAAAATACAACTAATAATACGAACTTCCTTCGCACCGTACGCAGCCAGCCGTGCTAATCGGAGGTGTGAAGGTGTGTCGAGTGATCATTCCACCTCCCCACCCCCTAAATCTCATCAGATCTCGGAAGCTAAGCAAGATGGGGCCTGGCTGAATGGTCGCGCTGGGGGATGGGTGACCACCAACTTGGCAGAACGAAACAGAATCCGCAGACGACATTCAATCTACTGACACGGCCTTTCTGCGAGATTATATCTCACTCGCCTGGTATGCAAGGAGGTTGTGGGGTTTGATCCCAACCCTGATGCCTGCTGCTGTATATTTGGAGTTTGCGTGTCTCTCTCTCATCATCATCACGGTGGCTAGGAGATGTTAACTACCTCGCCTGGTACACAGAAGGTCGTGGGTTATTTCCCAACCGTGACGCCTGCTGTAAATTTGGATTTTGCGGTGTCTCTCTCTCATCATCATCACGGTGGCTAGGAGATGTTAACTACCTCGCCTGGTATACAGGCGGTCGTAGGTTCGATCCCGACCCTGACGCCTGCTGTATATTTGGGGTTTGCGGTGTTTCTCTCTCTCATCATCATCATCACGGTGGCTAGGAGATGTTAACTACCTCGCCTGGAACACAGGAGGTCGTGGGTTATTTCCCAACCGTGACGCCTGCTGTATATTTGAATTTTGCGTGTCTCTCTCTCCCCGTGGTCGATTTTTCTCCGGGTCCTCTGGTCTTTTCCCCTCCACATTTTTTAATCAACGTCACGCGTTTGGGGTATTTGGATGAAAACGATCTCCAAACGATAAACCCCACTTCGTTGGGCTATCATTTGTGATATGTCGCTTGTGAAAAAGTAGCCACATCGCTCAGTGGGACCTTACCTGATCAAATATTTGTTTTCATAGTAGTTAAGAACGCAACAGGTGGATTACTCCACAAATCTGACTTGTCGCCTGATGAAGCTCGTTGTAATTACTGGCGAAACGTCGTACTCAGATTGTAAATGCTGTGTGGGTTTACTCTCCAACACGCCGGTGTGCTGTACTAGTGACGAATTGGCACGTTTTGTTTACGTGACAAACCTTACTAATTGGCTGTGTCGGGTGGTGGCGGGTTTAACGACACATTTATAATCTCGCGATCTAACCCCCCAAAAAATATATATTCTGTACATCATGGCGTTAGTAGTTCAGTTGAATATCAGCGTCGCTGACTGAAGATAACCACACAGCTCTGGACCCATCAGCTGCAAGCTGATGGGATCGGTTGTACTGTAGTCCTGTTGCACCACCGCCTTCACCGGCCCGCGGTGACCAGCGCGGTGAAGTATGGCGGAATAAAGGGCCCGTCCATAAATGACGTCACGCGATTTTGGACGATTTTTGATCTCCCCTCCCCCCTTCGTCACATGACGTCACAAAAAGTCAGACCCCCCCCCCCCTCAAATATTACGTCACAAAGCTCTGCCCCCCCCCCCCCAAAACCATATTTCCATTTTGAAAATAAAACATGCTTCAAATCGCTTTAAACTATTGTCATTGCAGTGCGTATTTAATGTGCCGCTGCACTCTGATGTTGCAGGAGAAAACATTTATTACAAAGTCTATTTAATTAAGTAGAACGTGTTGTCTATAGTTATTTAAAGTTGCGCATTTTGATGTGACGTCACATTTCTCACCCCCCCCCCCTCGTCACACATCGTCACAAATATCTGACCCCCCCCCCCCCAGGTACGTGACGTCATTTATGGACGGCCCCAAACGGTGCCGTTGACGACTGTACATCATACACACGTAGAGTCACAAGACAAAGATCACCCGCATAGCCTCCACGGACTCTGTGGCAAGTGCTGTTAGCGAGCAGCACCCAACGAAGGCCGGCACGGGTGGGGGGGTGGCCAGCACCGCGCCCCCGACCGCCTTTGTCTCCCTCCAGTGGCGATGTGCTACCACACAACCGCGTCTCAGGTACTCACTCGAGGCCGAGTCGACCTAGGGGAGGCCCAGGACCGGTTCGGACGCTCTCCGCACACAGGAAGAGGACGTGAGACCGAACAGAGGCACCACAACAACGCAACGCACGAACCACCGTTGAACACAAACGGCAAAAACTCAGCACGTGTTGTTACCTTCCGTGGTGGTGGTGGTGCTTGGTGGTGTCTCGCCGGTGATGATGGCGATGATGATGATGATGTTACATCGACGAGGAGGATGATGATGATGATGGCAGAGCGAGAGAAGGAGCGTTGTGATGTCGCGAAAAACCTTCAACAGACCATTTCCTGGTGCTCAAAAAACGTCGCCTCCCAGCGCCCCCTCGCGTCACGCAGCGCTGTTGCTGCACGTGACTCGTTTAAGGCCGAGTCGATCTAGGGGTAAAAGGCCCGTCTCTCGGCTCGTGCTCTTTCGGAGGTAAGGGGCCGTCCATAAATGACGTCACGCACCTATGGCGGGCGGGGTGTTTGAGAAATGTGACGTCACATCAAAATGCGGAACTTTAAGTAACTATAGACAACACGTTCTACTTAATTAAATAGACTTTGTAATAAATGTTTTCTCCTACAACATCAGAGTGCAGCGCCACATTAAATACGCACTACAATGACAATAGTTTAAAGCGATTTGATGCGTGTTTAATATATATTTTTGGGGGGGGGGGGCAGAGCTTTGTGACGTCATATTTGAGGGGGGGGTCTGACTTTTTGTGACGCCGTGTGACGAGGGGGGGGGGGGCGTCAAAAATCGTCCACGGCACACAAAGGAGGTGGGTGGCCAGCACCACGCCTTGTCGCCTTTGTCTCCCCAGTGGCAATGTTCACACACAGCACCAGGTAGTCATTTGAGGTTGAGTCGACCTAGGGGAGGCCCAGAACCGGTTTCAGATAATCGTGACTGCTGTTTGGCCGTGAGCGGGATTCGAACTCGGGTCCCCGGGTTCGTTGCGCGGCGGCGCGCTAACCGCTGCACCACCGCTCCTCCACACAAAGACAAAGACCTCCCGTATAGCCTTAACAGACTGTCGGAGCAAGTGCTGGTAGCGAGCGCCAATGAGGGCTGGCACGGCACACGAGGGCGTGGGTGGCCAGCACCACGCCCGGCCGCCTTTGTCTCCCTGTTGACGATGTTTGAGGCTGAGTCGACCTAGGGGAGACCCAGAACCGATTCAGATATTCGCCTCTGCCGTTGGCCGTGAGCGGGGTTCGTAGCACTACCGCTCCTCCACACAAAGACAAAAATCCCCACCCCTCCGTATAGCCTTGAACGGGCTATTGGGGCAAGTGCTGTCCACATGGACACAATGCCACACACACACGAAACGCAATTTAAATTTGCGATTAAACCTCCGATGTGTTTACGGGGTTCTTCTTAGCTCACGTGACCACACAGAGATATTTCACGGACTCTCTGATTTACGTGAACTCACACCGCGTGTGATGATAGACACAAGCGGGCCTAATTAAACCGTGACACCCCCATTCCCACCCCACCCGAGTTAATTATACCGAGGAAAACATGATAAAAGTGGCAGGAATATATATATAAAATATAATTATTCTTCAAAACATCCAATTTGCATATATTGATATGCATTAATTGGGCTGTGTGTATATGAATAATGACATTTGTTGTAGTGTTGCCAAGACACATTTAAACACATTCCCTCCACCTCTTTGCTTCTGCATTAAACAAAAACAACCTCATACGTAGTAAAACATTCTGGTCCTTTGTCAATCCACTGCTGGATGAAGGCCTCTCCTCTCCTCACCCTGCGTCGGCCAATGGGGTCGTTCGACCATACTTCACCACGCTGGTCAGTGTGCATTGGAAAAAGGGGAGGGGGAGGGGAGAGAAATTAGTTCTAGGGCCAGTTCAGATATCACTCGATGGTCGTGTGTAGTCAGGGCTGGGAATTGAACTCAGGTAGCCGGGCCCGACCTCGCCCGAACTCACCTGACCTCACGTGACCTCACCCGAACTCACCTGACCTCACCTGACCTCACCCGAACTCACCTGACCTCACCCGAACTCACCTGATCTCACGTGACCTCACCCTAACTCACCTGACCTCACGTGACCTCACCCGAGCTCACGTGACCTCACGTGACCTCACCCGAACTCACCTGACCTCACGTGACCTCACCCAAAGTCACGTGACCTCACCCTATCTACGATGTGGTTTAAATTACAATCAGTGCTGTTGGCATGTCCAGGTGCCCGTTCGTAGCTTGTAAAAATATAAAAACCAAATTAAAACTCTAAGCAGGATTCGTGTTCTCGGTGCTCATCCGGGAGCCGTAGCCAATTCGTGCAATTGCCAATGTGTGTGTGGGGTGGGGGTGTGGGGGGGTGAATATGGGGAGCGGTGGTGCAAGGTTTGGCACGTTATATTGTGAAGATAGCCCGAATCCAACTTACAAAAATAAATCTCAATGAAAGCTGCCAGATTGACCTTGCTATCACACATACGTGCAACCGAGAGATAAAATGCCACGGGGAAAATCAATGGCAGCATCTGCCACCTTAGGGGGGTACCGATGAGT